CCTCCCTCTCTACGATCTCTCCCAAGGAATCTCCTTCCTCCGCTCCCCTCCCTCTCCCCCCGCACCCTCCCCCTTTCCAACCTCCTCCATCCCCAACCCCGACCCCGGCCCCTCCCCAGGTCTGACATCCTCCCCCCGCCGCGTGTCTCTGCACCGGCAGAGCAAGATAGTCACGCAGACGAAGATCAGCACGCTGACGACTATGACGGGGATCACAATCTTGAGCACGGGGTCTTTGAGGGGGTTCGACATTTGGATGCCGCTCAGGGCGTCGCGGGGTAGGAGGTGGGTCGGCGGCATACTGTTTTTTTTGTAGTTTTCTTGAATCTGATGGTGGGCTTGTGGTGGTTCTGGCGAAACCGTAGTTGAGAGGTTTGGCGTATGGACACTGTAAGGAACGGAACCGTGCGGCGCGTTGGTAGAGAGTGGACTGAGAAGCGAGTGTAATAACGAGCGTTGGGTGCTTGAAGAAGCTGTGGAGTAGCAGTCCTGCTGCTGCTGCTGTAAAAGAATGATGGTTGATGGTTACAAGAAGAATAAGTGGTCGGTATCGAAATCTCGAGACGGAAAGCAGAAGGCGAAAGAAATCAGGCCTCGCGACTCAGCGATGCGAGGGTAGTGTATGCACCTTTGATTAGCCTCATTTTACGGCTTTGTTACAAACACGAGTTACACGAAAGTCCACGCAACAATCTTTAGCATGGGTTTCTTTGTGATACGGCTCGTGGCTGAACCCGACGGTTTGGTGGCCTGAGCGGGTAGATGGCCTTGTAGTATCGATTCGTGAGCGAGTACGATAGCTTTGATCCTCACTGTCCAACATGCTCTTAATGACGTGCATAAGACCATACTCGACGCAAGGGTAGAGAATGTTGAGCTTAACGGCAGCACACGTGCGATTGACCGCGATAGCCGCGTGCCGCTGTGTTACCTACAGGACCCAGCTACCACATCTCAACCCGAGATCGTTCTCAGGAACACCCGGCATCTAGTTATTGGGAAGACGGTGGCAGCCGAAGATGTGCAAACAACGTTACACCCGGACGTACCAGGGGCTGAAGCAAATGCAAAGCGACTAATTGAGAAGCAGGCCTGCCTGTTGACAGCATGAGTAAGCATATGATGGAAGATAGGTGAGCGAATAGAAACGAAAGATCTCAGTGATTGCAAAGTGGAGTCACGGTTGGACACATAGCCTAGGAGAAGTCGTTGGTAATGAGACTTATGAACCCAACCAGTTGTACAATTGACTATGCAGCTCTCGGCAATTAGCCAATGGAAGTACAAGCACCGCAATATCCCATGAACCTAATGCATATCAAGTTTCTCAACCTCCTTCACCAATTACACCCCCAACACCTCCGCACCGTCTCCCTATCCCCATATATCCCCCTCGACCCGAATCTACAACAGACCAACAACGGCAAGCGCAGCACCCAGGATTCCACCGATGGCCGGAAGAGCAATCGGGTTGGCAGCAGCGGAGGAGCCGGCAGCAGCGGAAGAAGCGGCCGAAGCAGCAGCCGACGAGGCCGAGGCAGCGACTGAGGAGGCAGAAGCGAAAGCGCTTGAACTGGCGGCGGCAGCGGAGCCTGGGGAGGTACTGTTAGCATTTGGGAACGATGTGGCGGCAGCGGTAAAGGAAGGGGTCTTACTGGTTCCAGCACCGGCGACGCCGCTCAAGCTGGAAGCGGCAGAGCTGGCTGCAGAACTCAAGCTGCCACTGACGCTGGAAAGGATCGAGGAGATGTCGGTCACAGAGGCTCCAGCAGAGGTGGCCGATGCGATGACGGAATTGGCGTCAGAAGCAAGGGAGGACTGGAGCGAAGCGGCTTGAGAACCCAGGGAGGAGAGGACGGAGCCCGTGGCGCTAGCAATGGCCGAGCTGAGAACGCCGCCAACGGCCGAGGTGAGGGAGTCCAACGGGTTCTGGGCGTTGACGGCTGCGGCACCGAGGCCGGCGACGAGGATGGCGGAGAACTTCATCTTGATGTGGGTGGCGTAGCGGGGAGGTTGAGTGTCTGTGTGGTGTGCGGAAGTTGATTGTTTGCAATGGAAGACGGTTGACGTGGATGGATTGGGAGTGAGAAGATGGGGAGAAGAAGGGCTGGAAAGCTGGAGCGGCTGTTATACTTCAAGTAGTGCGGCAATGAGGCAATGAGCTGAGCAGCCCCGTACTTTCCCCCTTCTGGTCGAGTGATACAAACAAAGCACGCCACCAGCCGTGCGCGTCCCAGATGCGACAGGCACGAGCAACGAGCAGGCGGTGCTGACGTCGCTGGGGTCACTATTGGCTGCCATGACGCTGCTCAGCCACGGCACATCAGCGATCATCCGTGCTCCGACATCCCGCACTCCGACAATCCCGTCTTCCTTCGGCGTTTAATCCGCTCACACACAAGTACTCCAGCCGAATTGCCTCAGTGTCCGGCAGTGAGGGATCGTAGGCAAGAGGGCCCAGCGTCTGTCGCGCATGTGCGGAGGGGCTTCCCCAGACTCCAGCTGTTGCAAGCTGCACCTCAGCCTCAGCCGGCTGAAGGCTCATCCCTGCCTCCCAATCTCAGCCGCGCGTCGCTCCCTCGGGCCATCTCTCTTCCTGCAGCCGCTCCGCTGGCTTCATCCTGACTTAGCCGCTCCTCCGACACCCACGCTAAGCCCCGATACGCGCAATGTGGCAGGGCGCTCCTTGTCAGCTGCACGCATCTGGACTGGCACATGCTGGTTTCGGTTGGGGCTGCTCTCATGTCAGATCGCCCGGTCAACCAACTCGCATTGTCGTCGGGCAGGCAAGCAGGAGCGTCCTGTTTCTTGATATTTATGTGGAGACCATGCTTTACTCCTACACGTACGCAGTACAGCCGGGCGTTAGATGTGCGTTGTGGAGGGCCCGCCGTGATGCTCTTCATTTCACAGGAGGCGTACCCAAATATGGGCAATCTTACTGTTCCCAGTCGAACCTCTTCTGGGTCAATGGCACAGGCGGCGCAAAAGCAGGGCAGAAGCACCTCATTTTACGAGCACAGCAAGCTGCCTAAACTGTGTCAAGCTCTGCCGGCGCTTCGGCTATCACAATCGCACCGGTTCTCATCGTCCACAGCACTCCCAGTGTCCTTGTTGGAAGCGCCGGTAGATGTGAACCAGTCGGCACAGTCTTGCTGCCGCTGAAGGATGTTGGAACGCCTGATTTAGGCCTACCATACGCGCGCCAGCATCCGTAGTGAGTACGAGTAGGTGGAACCTTGGGCTGTTAGCAGTACCTCCGTAGACAGCGGAACCTTGGAGCTGAAGTCGCCTTGTCCAAAGCACGAATTCCAAAGAGGCAATATTGGTTCTTACTTGGAACGCCGCAGTCCTCTAAGCGCTCTTTTCTTTACTAGGACATGGTGGCACAGCCGTGGTAAAAGATTGATGTCCAGCGTAAAACGTCGTCCGCCGCATGACTGCGAGGAATCCTCCGCCACGTTGGCGGTGGTCTTTCGTGTTTGATGGTGTCCACGCAGTGCCGTATCGGGGTTGCGACGGGTTCTACAAGGATGCTGCTTCCATTAAACTTTCCTTGTTTCAAAGTTGCATCCTCCGCCTGACGGCATCCTCCCAGTACATACCTTCTTATCATATGATTTTTCGCTCATAAGTCTACCGTCCTCGTTAGACAATTTGCAGGTACCAGGAAAGCAGGACTTATGGCGTCGGACTGTTCCAATTACCATAGAGAATGTCCAGGTCAATGAAGAGCTCTGAAATGGACACGAGACGCTGTCGCCAGCACATGAATGGTTTCCGAATGTTGGAAGCCAAACGGTGACGTCGAAGGGTCGCTGATGGGTGCATCTCTCCGGCGACCTGGGCAACTTCACGCTGCATCTTTTCTTCGCTCCCACTGAGCCCATCACCGCTGATCACATACCCTGGGACCACGAGAAATACTAGAGTTGGTACAAGGATTGGCCAGATAATGTTGATATGGTCGGGAATGCGCCACCAGACGTTCTCTGCTTGCACATGCAGCACATAAAGCTGTTTTCCTCCCTTTCCGCCCAATCTTCACCGGAACTTCCACTAAGTAAACGTCTCTTAGCCTCCACACGTTTATGGAGATGCGGCCCACTTGATCTCAGCCGCATTCGACGAGCATCATCGGCTGAATCCGCACGTTTCAAGTGCATGTATCTGACGGCTTTGAATGGTTGAAGCGTACGGTGACTGGCAGGGTATTGATTGGTGGATATTAACTAATCCGCATCCAGGCTGGCTATTAGTCCGCGTCGGACAACAATGGTCCGAGCGTCTCCAACAAATCCATGAGGCCTATACGCTGTCGTGATAAGAACTACGCGCAACTACGTAGAGACCCTTGTCCGACGCGGACCGCATTGTAGGTGAGTAGATCACTTTGCTACATAAACCCTGACAGGGGATATTAGGCTAAATTAAGAGACTCCGCCTCGGAGATAAACCGCAACATACGGGCATTCCCCAACGTTGAACTGTTTCTCTATTCAGAAGCGTGAGTGGATGGAAAAACTATATGCAGTCAATAAATAGGCATCCTTTACACGGCCAATAGTTCTGGAGCTCTTGGTTAGCTTCAGCTCCTCTCTCTTCTCCCCGCGTATCCTACTGGAAAAGGATCATTACCGTCTAACAATTTTGAGTAACTGAGCCAGCGAGATGGTAGAGTAGTCAGCATTAAAGAGTAACAAGCCGGAGGTTATGAATTGCTTTCTCTCCTCCTCATTCTGAGCTTCATCGGGAGATCCTTGGCAAATCCGTCTGCAGCTTCAAAAACCCTTGACGTCCTTACTTCCATCTTTCTATCTACTGTTCTGAGATCAACACAGTATTACAGGAGCCATGGAGCCCCACCCTTTCACAACCAACCCGTTCCGCACTCGGAGTGACCACCTACAAGCCTGCATTTCCCTCCTCGACCCTCTTGAGCAAGTCACTTCTAACTCCGGTGCCTTGGTCAAATGCGGCTCTACAGCAACCCACTACGACGAACGAGCCGCTCAGCTGGAGGGCTTCGCGCGCCCTTTATGGGGCCTAGCCTCGCTCGTAGCTGGCGGAGATCATTACGCTGGCACAGAGAGATGGGTGCGCGGGCTTGTTGCTGGAACGGACGAGGAGAGCGATGAATTCTGGGGAAAGATGCGCGACAGGGACCAGAGGATGGTGGAGGCTTGCCCCATTGGCTATACGCTGTTGGTAGCTGGGAATGCGTTCTGGGATCCTCTTTCGGAGGAGCAGCGGGAGAATGTGCAACGCTGGCTCTACGAGATGAACGCGAAGGAGATGCCGCAGACGAACTGGTAAGCTCTTTATCTCAGTCATCTCTCATCTTCTTAAGGGACCATTTGACAAGAACCCACAGGCTCTGGTTCCGCATTTTCGCAAATCTAGGCCTACAACGCTGCGGCGCCCGCTTCTCTCAATCTAGAATATCCGCAGATTTGAAAGTCCTCGACACCTTCTACCGCGGCGATGGCTGGTCAAATGACGGCCCAGAAGGCTTCACGCAGATGGACTACTACTCCGGCAGCTTCGCGATTCAAGTCCTTCAGCTCCTTTGGGTGAAATATGCCGGCCATCAAGACCCCGAACGAGCAGAGCTGTACGCCAACCAAGCAAAGGACTTTGCGCTAGACTTTGTTCATTACTTCGACGAGACCGGACGTGCTGTTCCCTTCGGACGCTCTCTTACGTACCGTTTTGCCATGGCTGCGTTCTGGGGCGCACTGGCGGTTGCGGAGATCAAGCTTCCTGAGCCGCTTACCTGGGGTGTTGTAAAGGGATTGCTGCTCAGGAATATGCGGTGGTGGAGCAAGCAAGAGGACATTTTCCAGCCGAATGGTATTCTAAGCATCGGATATACGTATCCAAACATGTATATGAGTGAGAACTACAACAGTCCTGGCTCACCATATTGGTGCATGTTGGCATTTCTGCCCCTCAGCTTAGGAGAAGATCATCCGTTTTGGAGGGCAAAAGTGGAGGAGTACCCATCTGGCGACAAAATCATGAGTCCGCCGATTAGGGGGCTGAAGCATCCGCTTCACATCACGGTTCGAAGAGGCGGTCACACCTTCTTACTATCCTCAGGACAGGAATGTCACTACCCTATGAGAGCCGGTGCAGCAAAGTATGGCAAATTTGCGTACAGCTCAGCCTTTGGGTATTCGGTTCCCACAGGCGATTATAACCTCGAAGCATACGCACCGGATAATATGCTCGCGGTATCAGAAGACGGTGGAGAGACGTGGAAAGTGCGACGAAAGGTGGAGGACGCATTCATAAAGCTGTATGAAGGTAGAATCCAGCTTCCTGTGCTTACCTCTGTGTGGAAGCCTTGGCGTGATGTTGAGATCAAGACTTATCTAATCCCTCCTGCACCGAACAGCTCCTGCTGGCACGTTCGAATCCACCGGATCAGGACGGACCGCGCGCTTGAGACGGCGGAAGGCGCATTCGCAATTTGTGGGCACAGCGCAGAAGATGGGAGGCCGTTGAGCGAGTACCCTGACGTAAACTTGGAAGGCATTCTCGCAGACGAATTCCAAGCGTACGTCGTTTCCAAGCGGGCAGGAGTTGCGGGGATCTCAGACCTATCACCGCAGTCCTTGAGAAAGGCCGAAGTACTCAAGGCTGATGCCAACTCCAACATAATGGAGCCAAGAACAGTTATTCCTATGCTTAAGGCTAATATTAGGCCTGGAGAGTATACTTTCGTGACGGCGGTATTTGCAAAGCCGGCTGAAGAGAAGAAGGATTGGCGGAAATGGCGCGATACGTGGGTACAAGATTGGGACAAGGAGTTTGATTATCCGGAGGAACTGGCTGACGAGGTTGAGGGTTGGGTTAAGGGACCGCTAACGCAACGACAAAGGCTGCTGAAGCTGCAGGAGAAGCTGAAAAGCTGAGTGTGGAAGAGGAAGAGGAAGAGGAAGAGGAAGAGGAAGAGGAACTTGAGGAACACAGCTCCTCGCTCGTTCGCCGTCAACTCCACAAAGGAACTCACGTTCAGCCGTCGAAATAAGGTTTGAGAGTGACCGGTAGGACGGCAAGCCTTGAGTCAGCTATCCAGACTGTGTTGTAGAGCATTATAATGATCGTAAAGGGAGCTTTGTTATTGATGCAGCCCTAAGTTTCTAGTTTCGCGGTGGGGCTTTTTTCCTGCTCGACGTGGCAACTCAGTCCCCGGCTGAAGTGCCAGAGTGCTCATGCCTGCCCATGTCATTTTCTTTCTGCCAGAGCGGTGAGACCGTTCCATCCCACTTCGCATCTATCATCGACGTAGTGGGGTGGTCAACAGGGCGAGTAGCAGGCCTTCCAGACTCGACGAGGCCGCGGGGCCTTCGACTCTAGATCGGGTAGTCATGGCCAACAAGCCTACCTTACGCTTTGCAACGCGCGAAGGTCTGTCAAAGATGCCATCCTCGCTCCCCGAGCTTGCGATTATATACTTACCACCCCCCAGACGTCCCCATCATCCTCGGCCTGATCAAGGAGCTCGCCGAGTACGAGAACGCCTCCGACTCCGTTGAAGCCACCGAGGCCTCTCTAGCCCTCACCCTTGCCCTCGCCCCCTCCTCCCACCACCACAACTCCCACCACAAGCACGGCTCATCCTCCAACAACGACAACTCCAAGCCCCTCCCCGACGCCCCCCTAAGCTCCTCCTCACACAGCCCCCCAACCCAGTCCTCCGGCTACGCGAAGACGATCCTCATAACCGCAAAACCGGAGGATGAGGTAGCGGGCATGGCGCTGTACTTCCACAACTACAGCACCTGGCGCGCGAAGCCGGGGATCTACCTCGAGGACCTGTTCGTGAAGCCCAAGTACAGGAAGAGAGGTTACGGGACGCTGTTGCTCAAGGAGCTGGCGAAGGAGGTCGTGAGGATAGATGGGGGAAGGCTGGAGTGGAGTTGTTTGAAGTGGAACGAGCCGAGTTTGAAATTCTACGAGTCGTTAGGGGCCAAGCAGATGGATGGATGGGTGGGGCTGAGGGTCGATGGTGAGGAATTGGACAAATTGGCAAAGGGCGAGGTGGAGCCGGCAGAAGAACCGGAGGCGGAGAAGCCGGAGGAATGAGCCGGTGGCTTGCGGTCAGTATCTCAGCCTTCAGTGTACATAGATGTTGACTAGAATAGAGTTGTAGGTCTCCCCGAGCTATACTCGAGGTGTCTTTGCAACTTCGGCTGCCGTGCAGTGCCCATCGCCATCGTTATACCCATGGTTGTAGCTCGCTCAATACGGCCTTCCGGTCCGACAACCGTATCACCCCGAAACAGTTAAAAAATTCAGATCGAACACCACAGCAATTGGCCTCCGGAGCAGGAGTCTTCAGCGAAGATCAGCTCATTAACACCCTCGCACGTCGCCCACCGGCTAGTACATTCCGTATCTTCGCCGTCTGCGGCTACCCTGGATGACGCCAGTTCCTGTCGCAATTGCACGTCCTATCCCCCGCACCAACCGGCTCTCCCACCCACTCACGCGGCCGCCTCCTACCAGCGTTGATGCACGCCTCGCAGGCATCGTTCGGCAGAAACGCCCATCCGTTCCCCGCACAGCCCGTCCTCGCATACTTGCACCTGTAGAAGCCGCTGTCGTAATGCTGGATCCTCAGCTCCTGGTCGGCGGGCCCGAGCCGGCCGGAATTGATGCAGCCATAGCAGGCGCCATTCCGTAGCTTGCTCCCGCCTGGGCAGCCGAGCAGGTCGTGGTAGACGCAGGGATAGCGGCCGGGGAGGTACCACACACCGGGCGGATCGGGGAAGACGCGAACGAAGGTGCCGTCAGCGGCGCGGGCGAAGCCGGCGGGCGCGTCTTGGTTTCCGTTCAGGCCCGCCATGGCGTCGTCGCCGTCGTTGCGTGGGTCATTGTGCGAGTGCCAATGAGGCCGCTGTGGAATGCGGACGTGTTCAGGTTGGGCGTTGGGGGTCTGGTTGTAGGTGCATGCTGGTCAAGATGTCTGTCAGTCGCTTGTGCGAGAGAGTATGCTTCGTGCAGGCTGCGAGGTAAAGAGCACCGATCGAGAAGAGGAGGAACTTACGCCCTCTAGCGGCACAGTTGACGCAGGGCAGAGTCCCATTGCATTGTCGTCTCCGGTTGATACACTGGTCGCATTGTATTCCGGGAGCCGCGCCAGCAGCGTCTTGAGGAACAGGCTCTAAGAACCTCCGTAGTACGGGGTCCTCTAGTGGTAGCTCCCAGTCGCGGTTGATGTGGCGATGGCTGGATTGCTGGTTGCCCATGGCGTCGACGGGGATGATCTTCGCTGTTAACACGACGCGGCTACCGAAAGATGAGGAGGTGAGGTGAGTCAAGTAACAAACCGATGTTGCGGTCGATGGACCTTCCTTTCCCTGTCGTTGCGATGTCGACTTTTCGGCTGTTGATATGGAGAAAACTGGAGGAGCATGAAGCTGAATGGGGCCGGAGGAGGAGGAAGAAGAGGAAGAAGAGGGATGCGTATGTGGCCACGACGCGGGCGAACCAACCGACATTCACTGATGTCGAGCGTATTTGGTAGCTGGCTAAACAGTTGGTGAAGCAATGCCAGCAGCAGCATGACGTTGGCCCCGGTTTCGTTGTCCTAGCATTCGCAGGGCTTTGCGTAACTACGTCTACGAATCGTAACTTGGACACCGGCTGACTGGCCATCCGAAATGAAGGTTGCCGCATTGAACGCTTTCCGTAGCCATGGAGGTGAACACACAAAAGGACAGTCAACAGATCAAAACACCTTACGTGATCGATGCATCAAAAATGCAAAGTGGTGGACGTCTTTTACTCTCTGTCGCATGAGATTGGTCCAGCCGCTCTACTATCGACTAGATTATGAGTTCAGTTTGATCGTGAAATTTATATTGAATAGCGGAAGAAAGATGCGGCAACGATCATTTCGGATCGCCCTTGGCCCTAGCAACAAACCGGCATGCCCATCAACATAGGTGACGCTGTCCCTGAGCACTTGACCTCACTCGGACTTCACTTGACCTGATGGACGTCATCCTCTAGTATGGCCCGTGGCTTTTGGCGAGGAAGCCGGGTTGAGAACGCTTCCTTGGCTAATCGACGTAGCATACCGTCTTGAGAAGCACAACTGAGACAACGCGAGAAATGAAAACTTTACAGGTGGTTTGTACTCGCCGCCTTCGAGGATCGGCTGGTCGAACAAAGGAAAACCTCCGGGTTACCTCTCAACCCTCGAGATCTCTGAAGTGTTCTCACGAACCTTCTTTAAGCCGTGTTCTGGTGCACCGAGACTGAAGAGCTGTGGGCAGCGTATGGTCCAGGTTTTTCTCTCAGCAGATTTTCGTTCCACAATCGAGAGCAAACAATATATTGTCAGCATTTTGTCGGTCAGCGGCGAAGCTGGGGCCAATGCTGACGGAGTGTCACAACGTCTTTAAGGTTTTGTATAAGATATAGCTGCTTCGTATCATTGTACCATACTCGAGCTGCCTCCATACAAACCCATAGACATCTTGTATGCCCACCATCGCGACGCTCCGATGATATGAATGCTCAAGAAGCGTCCCCTGACAACAACGAAACCACGCTCCCGGGCTCACATCTGTCTCGGCACGGCAGACTGACAGTGCTTTGTCGAGCGTCCATGTGTCGCGGTAAACCACATGTCAATCCGTATCCCAGATGCACAAAGGACCGAGTCGCGACCGTCGTATGAACCTTGATGGGAAAAAGAGTCATGACGAAACAGTGAATGAGCCTCAAGCTATTCGAGAACAGGGTTGCGGCGCGGAGGATTCCAGACCCGTGCGTGTTATAGCTGGAGCGAAGGCTGGAGCTGCTACAAGTGATGAGCGTGGATGGATGACTTCAAGCCCGCTCTTTCTGTGGAATTGCAATGTCGAAGCATCGGGGCTTGGACACATGAGTGGAGTTCCGCTCCCAAAAATCGTGGGTCACCGAGACGACTCACGTAGAAAGGACATTTAGCTGATACTTCGCCACAACCAGCTATGGCGAAGCCCTATTGATACCGTGTCGAGGTCGATCAGGCAGGTTGTACTGCGGTGATGGCTGTGCGCTGTGCCATATCGCAGGAGAGTCCATCCCGTCGCTCAGCGGAGATCCAGGCATGGCGAAGGCCTGTTGCTCGAGTAACATGTCGTTTATCCTGTTGTTTCTAACGGCAGATCTCGATTCTTCGTCTTCGTTCCGAGGGGAAGACTGCAAATCCTCGCTCGCTTCGTGATTGCTTGTGGCGGTCTTCCCGGCATCCATGGGCATATCTCTCTTTCCTGTACTCGCCTGGCCTTCTGCCGCATGTGGTCTTTCAGCTGCTGTCGGCGGGTCCTGCCCAAGCATATCCCACAAGCGCAGCTCCTCTGCTCGATTGGCCTCCTGGTCAAGTGCATCTGCTTCGAGGTCTGATTCATCTTCCTCGATCTCCTCGGCGTGGTCAGATGGAGCATCAGGAGGTTCGCCATTCTCGAGTGCGGACTCAACCAATTCGCCACCTTCCTCCATTCCTAATTCGTCCCTGCTGTCCCTCCTAGAAAGAAGCCGCTCCAATTCAGCGTAGTCAAGTGGTGGGCCATCGTCGTTTGTTGAATTCGCGCCTGGAGGCTTGTGGAATACTGACAGCCCGCAGCGACGGGGTGCCGTAGCCCAGAAGTGTTTAGCATCAGTTTTCATCCCCAGTATGGCTAAAGCTGTAAGGACATCACCGCGCTCAACAGCTCGCGTTCTCGGCCTCTTGCTCGGTCCTGACGCTGCACGGAGCCTCGTCATCGCTTGGAAAAGCGTTGCTTGAACAATGCGCTGCGTGATGCTGACGGTCAGGCGGTGGAAGTCTGAGAAGGCCGTGTGATAAATCGATGGTTCTTCAGAGGGCTCTACGATTGTTTGCCAGTTGATGCTGCTGCTTTGATCGCCGCTGTTCATGAAGACGCGGGTGGATAGTTCCAGCCAGGTACGGGGCTTGAGGAGTCTTGCGGCGGGTAAAGCATCCAGAGCATTGCCAGCAGCCTTTTTGTCAGTCGGGAATTTTGATGTCTCAGAGGCATCTGGTTCTATTGTGTCATCGGCTCGTTGGTTCTGAGTATCGGGTATCTCTGTGTTGTACAGTGACTCCTGCTTGCAATATGACTCCAGCTCCCTAGCAGCGTTGGAATCTAGAAGCCAGGATGAACCATGCTTATGCACCTCGTACTTCTCTTCTAGTGCCCTTTGCTCCTGTGACAAGACGTCTCCTGGCTCTTCTAGCTCTTCACAGCACACTTCGCTGAGTTCAACAGCAGCGGGGATATTCCGAAAGCGAAGTAGACTCTTCGGGTTCCTGAGACTTACTTCGGCGAGCCCCTCGTCTAAAAGCAGCAGGTAACTGCGAACTTCGAGCTCAGACTTGGTCCCGATCGCGCTGGCAATCCCCGAACAGGCATGCCGTCCAAGTCTCGTAAGAGCACTGAAGAAGATGTTCTTTTCGGAAGCCGTCCACACCGAGGCACTGATCTGCGAGTCGTTGAGGCCATTAGGAGAAGCACCATCAAATCTCTTCCGCGCATCGAGAATGTTCTCGTTCAGAAGCTTTCTGTACTCTTCATCGCTAGCAATTTTCAGTCGTTTTGCGCCGGGTCGCCCGCTTCGGCCTGATTTGCGCTTCAAAGAGGATGTCTGGGGTGCTTCTGACTGGAAGTCTGAAGCAGGGCTACTCGGACGTAATGGCGGTGTTAAATATTCGGAAACATCACTTTCGCCGGTATCTTGCTGTCGCATTTCATCGTCCACCTCATCTTCGACCTGCGAGCTCATCGCTCCTAGCTCTTGCCTCTGCCGCAGCACCCAAATCCCGCGGAACACCCAGAGAAAGATCGACTGATGATTGAGTATTCTGCGCGAACCACGTCGCTCTCTGGTGTTATGTATTGTGAGTCGATGGAATGCAGCCAACGGGAGCGCAGGATTCTGCTCCGCCCCGAGGAAAGGGCCGATTGGCTGTGTTCAACATCAGAGATGGATCCCCTGTATCGCCTTACTGTTATACTCGTAGAATTATCGGTGCAAGCTCTTGGAAACTGGTAAAACGCAGTAGTTAGCTGAACATCTTCCATTAGTAGAGCCCTTATCTCGTAAGATAACGCTTCGAGTTGTGTAAACGGCTTATCCGCTTGACTCCAACATGCAAATGCGACCGATTCAATGTATCGATAATTAAGCATAGAGCGTACAAGCTGAGATGCATGAGCCCAGCGTATCCAAACAGCGAAACTGCCAGCCCGGACCAGTTATCCAGCAAGTTTAAACAAATAGTCCCCAAGCTCAAGTCCCTATACAGCCGTGTCTCTCACCGCTTACCCCGTAGATACCCACCCCAATCCGTCTTCACCCTCTCCTCCTCCAACCCAACCAGCCCCCTCCCCTCCCTCCACCCCTCCCAATCCCCGAGCCCAAGCAGATGCCGCATCGTCGGCCTCCCATGCGGACAATTCCACGGCTTCTCAATCTCGCCCATATGCCTGACCACCCTCTCCATCTTGGCCACCGTCAGTGTATCCCCAACCATGATCGAGCTCCGACAAGCGCGCATCGCAAACATCTTCCTTACTTTACTAGGCCGAGGGACTCCCGCACCAACGCCTCCAGCGCCGTCAGTACTGTACGAACGCCCTCCGCTCTCGGAGAGGAGCACGAGGAGCTCTTCGAGATCGCTGGGGTTGAACGTCGTTTCGCGGCTCATGGGGAGGCTTTCGAGGCGGCAGCGCTGGCCGACGGGGAGGTCGCCGCTCGTGTCGACGGCGATTTTGAAGCCGTTCGCGGTCAGGGCTTCTGGGTGTGCAAGGATGATCTCTTCTTCGACGGCTGTTAGGTCGAGGGGGAGGGGGTGGACGAGCCGTTGGGTCTGGACAAAGGTGGAGGCCTGTAACCGCTCGAAGTTGTACTTTTCGTCGGAGGCGTGCTGGTCGATGATGAAGAGTTCGTCGCTCGTTGATGCTGATGCTGGCAGGGAGCCCGGGGTGGTTGTGGGAGGGATGAGTGCATCAGGCTGAGAAGAAGAAACCGCAGGACGTACGGCCAAGATGAAGCCTAGATTGAACTGCCCGATTATGCGCATGCGGCCAAAGTCTGATTTGGCGACTGTGAGAGAGAGGCGTTCTTCAACCGACTCTCCTACCGTATCTTCCATCGTCTCATCCGCATCGCCATTGTTCTTCTGCTGCACATATACCGATAGTGCGCTGTTGAGCCTTTGAAGACTCCTCTCAATACTCGCCACAGATGTGTCAAGAAAGCGAACAAAATGCAGCGTGGAGTCTTTCCTGATCCTGCCTTTCATTACTGTGCTTGCGCGCTTAAGATTGTCTGTTGTCGGTCGCGCTGCCGCTTCTTCGGCCTTCGCGATCATCTGCGCCACGCGAGCTTCTTCCCTTGCTTTCTTCTCATCTTCATCGATGTACTCGCCATCGGAACCATCATCTTCCTGCACGAATAGCGGTGCGTCGTCGTCCGCTGAAACATGGTCTTCAGAGGTTTCCACGGAGTTTTCTGTGTCGCCGGCAGTTTGTGCGGATGAAGTTCCCCCTCCCGTCGTTTCCGTGGGCGCGCCGCTCCCTTCATCGGTGTCACCATCTTCCTCTTGCGCATCCCCCTCCTCTTCGCTGACCTCAATCTGCATTCCAGGCGCAGAGAAACCTTGTAAACTTCGTCCGAACAGTAGACTTGCCGTGCCGCCCCCGCTCAAACTAGCCTCCCAACCTTTCTTGGGCGTGTGGATCCTCCTCTTCTTCGGTGGCGTTCCGATGGTCATTCTCGTCGTGACATCGCCTATCGTGATTGTTGCTGTTTCTGCTGGTGCACGCTTCGGCCGCATGCGGTCGAATGCGCTTTGGACCGGACCTGCGGTGGACTTCTGGGACGTGTTGCTGATAGAGCGTATGCCTGCTTCGTTCAGAGTAGCGGGCGAGGGTGGTGGCTGAGGAGCTGCGTCCCGGGCTGCTTGGCTAGCGATGCGTTCGTTGAAGTCCTGAACATGTTTTGGCAATTCGAAACGCGGAGGAGACGGCGGATCGCTAGGTGTATTAGGTAGAGCGTGGAGGTCCTTGACTGCGGTAGGACTGTGATTCTTGTTAGGCAGCCTGGCGAGCTCCGGCTTGTCTACGGTCGGGCCAGCTTCCTTTGGCCGTGGTGGCACCACCTGACTTCGACCGATAGCATCTCTCGCAACGAAGTTCTGGATGAGACTCGTTTGAGTACCGTCCTGCGGCGCCTGAAGTGTGGTCTCAACGCCCGATGATGATGGGGGACCGTCCTCTGAAGGCTCTTCACTGAGAACCCCTGCCTCTGCCACATCCGGTGGCTCAATGGGAGCAGGAGGCGGTGTAAAGTCATTGTCCACTGTCAGCTGCTTGTAAGCAGGCAGCTTCTTGTTTGCACCGAAGCTAGCCTGGGGAACGCTCTGCTCATGCTCCTCGAAGAGTTTGGTAAGCGCTTCCTTAAGTGACTCCAACAGCGCATTCTGATCGTGCAACAAAATCGTTCTTTTGTCGGGTGAAACATTTACATCATATGCATTAGTATCCAGTTTGAGATTTGCAAATATGAACGGAGATTGCGTGGTATTATATGACTTGTACACCTCGTTGAACGCTTTGGCGACCTGTGGGAGGCCGCAAGGCCGAGAGTTTACAAAGAACATTTGCCGGTCCGGTGTTTGGCGGCCCTCTCCAACTACCGGACGGGAAATGTGGCCGGAGATAGCTGCTTGCCTTCCTGCGAGGTCATCTTGTGTACTCCAGTTCCTAAGAGATTGAGTGGATCCTCGGGTAGGTTGCAGCTCGAACTGCAGTTCCAGCGGGACGAGGGCGAGAAGTGTCTTAGCGCCGTACACGTTTGCAATATTCTCTTTGGTCGTAGGATTTGATTTGGTGGAGAACACCGTGAGCTTCTTTCTGTCACAGTTGTCAGCATGTCGGCCCTTCCACAGCTCCGGCGGTGAAGAGGTACCCTTTGACGGCCTGGTTACTGACCGCAAACCGGACTCCCGTGCTGATGCACGCATACGCATGCAGTATGCCCAGGACCTTGCCATATTCTCTTTTGATGTTCTTCTCCAGCTCCTTCCTCCTGACTGGCAGGTTGTAGAACAGATTCTCCACCACAACAGTTGTCCCCTTCTGACTCGCTACGACGCTTGTGCCCTTCAGCTTCCCCGAGACCTCGAAGTCCAGCCTCGTGCCCTTTGGCGCAGAATCGGCTCGCGCTGTGACGATATGGAACTTGGACAGCGCGCAAAGGGAGGAAAGCGCTTCGCCGCGGAAACCAAAGGTCGTGAGGGATGTGAGGTCATCGTAGGTTGAGAGCTTCGAGGTGTAGTGCTTGAGCGCTGGAACAGTCGTCAGTATACTAGTGGAAGTCTCGTCGTGCAAGGGCTGTACCGATAGTCTCGTAATTTTCCGGAGAGATGCCATGGCCGTTGTCTTGGACCTCGATGGAGTCGAGGCCGTTGTTCTTGAAGCGAACGTCTAGCAAGTAGATTAGTGAGTGTCTGAATGCAGTGCGAGGTTCACCAAAGCGCAGCGTACCTATAGAGGTTGCTCCAGCGTCCAGGCTGTTCTCTACAAGCTCTTTGACAACCGAGCACAGGTCAACTATGACCTGTCCTGACTGGATCTGATGGACCTGAAGGACTCGCAATCAGCCCATGTTGATTCCACAACGTATAGCAGTGGCTCACAGAGCGGCCCTCAATGGCCTTGATCGTGGCCATCTCAACCCATGATGGATGTTGTTCCAGTGGGGGGTTGGCGTCGCGTAAAGTGCTTCTGCCGGCTGGCGCGCCATCGCCATGTCACGAGGTCAAAAAACCGCGGTTACACCCTAATCACCTCAACGAAGAGTTCTCAGCACGCTGTTGTGTCAAAGTTTATTGTCTAGTTAAGAAGAACGCCGTAAGCTTAGGCTGATGGTATGAGAGGTTCCAGAGTATGTGACCAGATTGCTCAACCCGAATGCACAAATGCAGCCAGGTGTATTGAAGGAGCAAAAGCAGCAAGCCAAAAGATCAACCAAACCCCCCAATCATGCAAGTGCCGATGCTCCCAGGGTATCGTCGTGTGAAAGTGTGGCAACCCGTGATGCAGCGCAATATGCAGCGCCAATATAGACGCAGATGAGCTCCCAATAACCGCAAATCCCAATGCGCCCTTTTGTCCCAGAAGAATGGGTCCCAGCCAAGCCAGAACTCCGCTAAATGACGCTTCACCTGAAAAGACTCTTCAGATCCTCGAGCCTCTTCCTCGCCGCCTCCGCCTTGTCCAGCTTGACGTTCCTGTTCATGCTGAGGTCCGCCAGCTGCACCTTCTTCTGCTGCAGCTCCAGCATCTTCTCCTCGAAGCTGTCTTCCATGATGTATCGCGTGATCGTGACTTCCCTCTTCTGACCCAGTCGGTGGACGCGATCCACGGCTTGTGCTTCCGCAGCAGGGTTGTACTGAGGCTCCATGACGTAGACTCTCGAGCCAGTGGTGAGGTTGAGCCCAAGCCCACCGGCGCCGATCGAGATCAGGATGATCGGAACATCCCTATCGTTCTGGAAGACATCGAGGGCCGTGCGCCGCTGGGTACGCGACATGCGTCCGTCGAGGCGCGTGTACTGGAAGTTGTTGTCCTCAAGCGCGATCTGAATGAGGTCAAGGTGAGAAGTCCAACCGGAGAAGATGACGCTGCAAACAGTTAGTACCAGTCACATGAAATTGCTGCAGGACGCCAGAGCGGGTATACCTCTTGATAGGAGGCTCGTCGGGATGCGCCACGCTCCACTCGTGGCTCTCGTTAAGCGCGTCCAACAGTGCTTTAGTCTTCGTATGGGGGCCTTCATACCGACCGAGCTGCTTCGCAAGCCTCGGATTGTTGCGCAGCTTCGCACGCGCGTCCTCGGCCTCCTGCAGTTCATCCCGCAACATCTCGTAGGGAATCATCTTGACGTACGACTCGCAAAGGGGACACTTCATGTGCTTGTCTGACGAGATCCGCTGGTCAACCGTCTCCTGAAAGCCCTTCATACAGCCAGGACAAACAATCTGATAGCAAGGTGTCATATAGCCGAGCGTATTGTCCAGCTTGCCATCAGACATTGCCTCGTCGTTCTCGTCGGGCACCTTCTTATTACATAGAGAACAGCGGTCCATATCCGTCTGATTGAGCAAGTGCAACATGTCGTAGACCTGCTTGGCGGACAGAACACACTTGTCGTCGTCATCCTCATCTCCCAAATCTATCGCTTTGTCGGCACTGAAGCCCTCGGTGATCTTCATGTCCTCGTCGCTGAGCAGTTCCTGGCCATGAGCACAGATCAAGCGCAGGCGCATGATGGTCCGTAGGATGTGAACATATACCCTTCCGCCAAGCTTCTCCCGGCCCGCACTCATTGCTTTCACTTGTTTCGCAGCGTCCATCGCAAACAAGTCGTAGAGCTTTCGCTCATTCTCCGAGAAGTCAAGCTTGACAATCTGGTCGTGCCGAGGTGGGAGGTCAATTCGGTCTTTCAACCGGCGAAGGGTGATACTATCGACCAGGAGGCGGAGCTTTGGAATGACCTCCGGGTCCGCGTTCTTCAAAGGGGAGAGAATGAAGTTTGCGAAACCAGCTTTGGTACTGAAAGGCTCGATCCGTAAAAACTTGATTAGGGCACCCAGGTCGTCAATCCGATTCTGAACCGGAGTGCCGGTGACCGCCCAGCGGCGCTGCGCAGAGAGAGCGCAGATGGCCTGTGAAGAACGCGTTGCTTGTTCGCGAATCATGTGCGCCTCGTCCAAGACAATGCGGAAGAAGTTGGTTTGTTCCAGAGGGCTCTTCTTGCCCTTTGACCACTCGGTAGCGATGATGCTGTAAGTAGTAATAACGAGCTGGTATTTCGCAAGCTGCTCAACGTCTTGAGTCCGGTTCTGGCCATGGTAGATGTAGTAGTCGAGCGTTCCCGGTTTCACGTGCGCCTTGATTTGCTCTTCCCAGTTCGATACCGTGCTCACTGGAGCAACCAGAAGTGTAGCCTGAGAGTTGCGCAGCAAGACGGTACCAGGACTTTGCGCTGGTTTCTTCTTCGACCATTCCGTGGCTTCATCTAGCGTGTCGGCAACGAGTGAGAGGATACTCAGTGTTTTGCCAAGGCCCATCATGTCGGCCAGGATACCCCCATAAACCGGTGGTGGCTGTTGCAGCGATTCAAGGCCCGTGATGACGTTGTAGTACATCCGCTGTCCGTTCGGTCGGAGCTTTACGCGCCATAGCGAGCTCGTGTCGTTGTCATCTTCCTTGAAACTGCGGTCTTTTTCGCGATCGGTCATGAACCATAGAGCTTGCTTTTGATGGGCTAGAAGAGGCGTAGAGATACTCAATGGTTGCTCCTTTTCAGGGAGATCTTCAGACTGCTTGAGGCTGTCGAACATACTGACAACCTCGGTGCGGACCTCCTCCACAGTCCGCATGACGTAGCTGGTGCCCGGTGTGTATTGCATGATACTCGACACAGCTGTAGGGCCTGCAACTGCGATGGATTTCGGAGCTTGAGGATTGCAGTATTCCATGCCTCTATCTAGGAACATCGGCTCCCGAAGGAACACTTGCTTTTGGCTCAGGAATTTACCTATAGCGACGGCATGCTTGCGAGGCGCGTACAGTTGGAGAATGAGCCAGAGCGGTTCTGAGATGCCTTGGCCAGGCTTCTGAGAGGGATCACGCTTTCGGTGTTGTAGTCTTCCCGCAAGACGCATGCGGTGAGTCGCAACTGTGGACATCAATGGCGCAAGTCCGGCTGCGGTGCGTGGGTCGATGGTGCCGAATTCCCTACCCATGGCGTCCCAGACTCCAATCCTGAGATCGCTACCTACAGCACGCCGCTTGAAGGTGACCTTGATGGCGGGCCAATGCTTATCCCACGCTGGGCCGCCTTGTTTGGGAGATGGGACTTGATATGCATTGACGAAGGCTTTGTCTACCCTACCAAGACAAACCTCGCGGTCGCCAGTGTCCTTGATAAGGACCAAGTCGTCGTCATCGTCGTCGCCTAGACAAGGTCAGTAAATCACAGCTCGGATATTTTCTTGGAGCACATACCGCCAGTAAGGTCCACGACGTCGTTGTTGGGTCTCAAGGGCAGGTTCACAGGCGGACCGGAATCTGGTCCTTGCTGTTTACCCTCCTCGCGCTTGTCTTTGATGTACTGCCCAAGGACTGTTCCGTTGGCGGTGCCGGTGAACGTTGACTTATTCGTGGAATCTTCTCCATGGACTCTGATGTCTTTCATGATACGCTTTCGCGGTTCATCCTCTCGGCGGCTAACATTGTGGATACGCTCAATGAAGTTACTCAGCCCAGACGGTGCTCCGCTACCGAGCGTATCATCTGATTGAGTCGTGGAATCCTCGTCTTCGAGCGCATTACGAGACCGCTTGGAGGCAGCTCTTGGGCTGAGTAGGACCTTCGGATCGAACTGCGGTGTGGAAGCTTTCGGTGCTTCCGAGGCTGCGCTTTGTGCTCTGCTGGAACGTGCTTTGCCTTCTTGAGTCAGGGAGAGTTGCGACGCAGTAGAAGAAGTGTCAAAGTCGGGAGAGACGTAAGAGTTGTCTGACGAAATACTGTCATGTGGACTATCCAGCGAGTGAGGTTCACTTGATGCTCGTGACTGTGACATATTGAAAGGCGAAGAAGATGAATGGTTGAGAGAAGATGAAGATGAAGATGGAGTACCGTCGGTTTTCTTGAATGACTTCGGGTTGAGAAGATAGGCCGCCGGGTTCATGACAGGCGGCTTTTTTCTATCCGTTGCGCACTCGATGAAGCGGTGCGTTGCAGGGGCCCTCTTCGATCATGAACTATGGCGCGGTGGTTGTTGTTGAAGAGGCCGACGACGGGGGCGGTTGGTGAACAAGAGTGACGACAGTCGGTGGGGGCAAGGTGAGAGTGAAGACGAACTTGGGGACGCGTGCAGACACGGGTGAAGTGCCCTCCAAAGGGCCAGATATACTATGCGCCGAGTGAGGTCAGGATGGCTAAATGGCTATCTTCAGCGCTGAAGTCACTTGATACCTATCGATAGAGTTTGATATCACCGAATCGAGCTTAGCTTGTAAGCCACGGTGGCTGAGGAAGGGACATAGAGTACGATAGACCTTCTATCTCAGGCAAAATGAATGAGTGGACGTTAGGTAGGTGTGCATCAAGGTTGCTGGTTCAATTATGCAACTGGGAAGTTGGTTATGCATGGAACGGTCATGTGACTTGAGGAATAATTAGATTGCGAATACTCGTACCTTATCTTCACAGCTTGCAGAGGCTGCAGTTGCCCAAAACGAACGCTATCCTAACAGCAAACGCTAAACTCCGTCCAATGCGCTCTATTGGTATCTTCCAACCAGGAGTTCCGACGTAGTTACCCACACCAACCTTACTGTATGTACCGTAACTAACACCAAGTGAAGACGGGGTTTTTACTCTTCACCGTCTCCAAGCGTTCAATGATGACCTTCTTCCTCATGCCCTCCATGTCTTCGGCGGCCGCATATCCAAGATCACCTTCCAAGTCATCATCAGCCATGAGGAAGGAATTGCTGCCGCGCCTTAGCCCTGTCAGGGAATACCGCCTACGCCGCGAATCCGGACTTTCTTTCTGTCGCCGAACACCTTCATAACTCGATCTGGGCTTCGGGCCGGGCGCCGGAGCGCCCAAGATGCCCGCTGCAGGATCCCTCTTGGGCCGCGCAGCCCACCCCAAACTGTCTTCGCTCTCTCTGGGGTCCAGTGCGCTGGCATGACGCGTTAAATTGAAGCGATTGCCGTTCGGTAGCTCCGACGTCGGTGAGCTCGTTCCTAGCAGGTCATGTGATGGTTGGGGGGCCGAGGCACGAGCAGCGCTGATATCCATCTCTTCCTCCTCCATGCGGGCTTCATCCTCTGCCCGCCGGCGTCGCATTTCCGCTGAAGGAACGCGCAGCGGCACTGCCACAGGCACATCGACCAGATCATCCCACACGCACACTCTTGCTCTCCGGGTCAGCTCTAGTGGCCCATGATCCGGTACTTTCAGCGTCTCAACCACGTTCCATGCTTGGCCCTTCATGACGGCGATCTGCCGTGCGAACATGCTCTCCTTGAAGTCGGAGTCTTGGCTGAAGCATCGGCGAAGTGCAAGCTGAGTCTCACTCCACCAGACCTTGGATGTTAGGAGCGGAAGAAAATGTCGGCGTGTCGCTTCTGAGAACGGCTGTCCGATAAGAGAAACCGGCAAGAACAGCCAGCCAAATGGGTAGCTTCGCCACTGCCTAGAGTTAGCTTACATCACCAAGTCCGTTTCACGAGGCTCCTTACTGCGTCAGGATGCTTCCACGGCCACGAGAGGCTGTTGTCGATTGCGCCTATAGCAACCGAAGGTTCTTCGCCGGGCTCAGAGACCATAGGCGTTGAAGCTCGACTGTTGGCTTGCATGGGTTCGTGGCGTCGGTAAGCGTCAAATTCCGAGTCTAAAAGTTGGCGGTCGTTCTTGGGCGCCTGTCCGTTGACATTCTTGCTGCTTTTTGGCGGTTCCGCTACAATGCTGGCTTCCTTCCCGTTCTGACTAATCTTGATCATCCAGTTGTCCAAACCTCTGTCCGTGTTACGCATGATGTAGTCCAATATCACCAGCTTCTCCAACTGCTCTCGGAAAGATTGTTGTAGACTATCAGTCCAAAACACTCGTCTTTGATGCACGTCTTCCGTCGCATTAGGTGTATGAGTCTGGTGATCCTCTTCATCGTCCGAAGGAGCACCGCCCGGTCTGCACTCCTCTCCCCATCGCCTTTTCTTCCGCCTTGGAGCGGCATCGGTACGGAAGCCAGAGTTGTGTTGATCAGGCCAGGGATGCTCTTTCAAGAATATGTTGGCATCCTTGAACCCCTTCAGAAAAATCTGAAAGCTACCAATCTTCTCTGGTAGCGGTTTCTTCTTCCTGTAGAAAGCCCGACGATCCCAGAAATCGTAATAAAAAGACTTTGAGGATAGTGACACGATGTCGGTATATGGCACGATGTTAGTGCGTAGCTGGACGTCAAGCACGTACGCGGCGGCTTCTGAGATGTAGCTCAGGTTGGGAATGAGGCACGCCCGGCCAAAGAACCAGGGAAAGAGGTTGCGATGTATCCATTTCGTCCACTTGGGATTTCTTGATGCATATGGTTCCTCGTCTTTGGGCTTGAAGACCCCGACTACCTTTCCCTGGGGTGTGCGTGCAAAATAGCTTCCTGAGCTGCCCTGTGATATCAGCTTCGGGTGAATCCCTTGCTCGATTGCTAACCTGACGCTTTCCACGGCGTCTTCGAAGTGTTCTTTTGTGATCCTGTCCGGTCCCATAGGGTAGTCGTGAGCGAGTGACTCAGCGGTGGCTGGCCGGATCCAGTCTGGGGCTTGGAAGACGGAGTGCTGTATCTCAAGCTGCTCCTCCTCTTCAGTCTTGCCCTTGATCCTGCGTATCTTGAACTTGGACGCTATCTCGTCCGCCCATCGCTCCAGCCTAGCGTTGATGGCCTTGATGTCTACTCCTGAATTGCTTCGCCGAGATCCGCTTCGAGGAGGTCCTCTTGGTCTTGACGGCGAGGTGGTGCCAGATGCATGCATGCGGCCCTGTCGCTTGGGCTGTATGGGCGCATATCGAGATGACGGGTTCGAAATCGTAGTCTGGCCTCGGTAGGCATCCTCGTCCTCGGAGTGGGCGTCGAGGTCTTCTTCCTCCTCGGCCTGCGCGATACGCGCATACCCTGATGTCGCTGGCCGTTGCCTTGGCATGGCTTTGGTGGACAGTTGAATTTATCTGCCTCAACACACCCTCCGTTGGCGGGCAGATGCGATACTCTACAGCTGGACAAGCACAGGAACGTGACAGCCCGCTGCGGCTGACAAAGACATGACGGAACCGCTAGGCCGCTAGGCTCCAGGGGTCTCAGCGCCATTGAGCCGCGCTCTGGCTCGAACCAATCCGGCAGGAGCTGCGAGCGGGCGCTAATGCAAGCTTAAATTATGCAACTTCATCTCGACTGCCAGAACACCCGACCCCAACTCCTTTTTCCAACTGCCATCGTATCAAGTTGTGACTGGATGCAGACATGCCAGTGAGCTGAGATGAAGATATCAAGAGTTCGAAGACCATTGAAGGAGCTTGAAATAACCTCCAGCTACAATGTTTCCTGGAGCTCCTCAACGCGTCCAAGGATTCCGGTGCTGGCAGCGCGTCCTGAGATTTGCGTCTCGATAGGGCTAGCTGTTCGCTACCAGTCTTTTCTGCCCTCCGAAACGCCAGGTTCGGCTTTTTCCCCTGAGCCGCCAGATAGTTTCGACTGGCGTCATGTATGGTTCATCGATATGCAGGAAGCGGCTGTTTTGGCAAGGCTTTCGGATCATTATCATTAGATGCTCGCATTGGCAACGAGAACATCCTCAGCACGGGTCCTCAGCATAGGTACAGTTGCCTGTCAAAAGGTTGTTCAAGCCTTTTGCGCGGTTTCAAAGCAGCGTACTTTGATACTTCTGGTGCAGCACTGCTTGATCACGGGAAGATCGCCCATGTGATGTGCAACTCTCCTGTAAGACACCTAATTTACGATGCGGCACAGGCTGTGCCTCGCAACGCAGACACGGACAAATATAGTAAAAGACCAAGCTCTGCTCCCGCCCGTTATCCTTTTATCGCCATCCCTGGCATACGCCCCCCTTATCTTGATATCGCGTCGACTCCACAGCTCCACAGCTCCACCAGCTTTTCGTGCCTTTGTACCTCAACCTTCAGCTATTCTTACTGTTCTTCGACACCGCAGTAACTTTCGTTCGGGCGTCATTGTAATTGTTACTGCTTCGCTTCTCACTCGCTACCTACCTCGCTCTTTAACGCCGTCAACAATCTACACCACAAACATAGCTCTCATTACCAGGTTCACGACTTCGCGGCAGTCGGTAACCTGAAGTGTTTCCATCGGCTAACATACCGACATTCGCTCGCGAAAGGCTTCATTGTGTTCTTCTTTTTGCATCACTATATCGCTCCAGCTATGGCGACCTCCATGTCCCAACGGCCTTCGACCATCGATAGTCTTCGACCTCCGCCAACGCATCAGATCCGGGATCTGCCTTCTTTTACAATGACCACTTCGATCGATGAGCGACCCATACTGCCATCGATTGGCCACGAGATTTCGCGTCCTTCGTCGACCTCCACACAATCATCCCTACACTACTCACTGCAGCGACAAGCGAGTAATCCACTGTTACAACTGCCTGGCCTCTCGGCGCTGGCATCGGTAGCTTCATCATCACCGGCAATGACTGTCACTACAAACAGGTGCGTACAACAAAGAGGGACAAGTGAGAAGGACAGGCGATGAGGAATTGGAAGCTGAAAGGAAGCGATGCATACTCGCTAGTCCGAATAGTTCGTGAAGCTCCTGGGTGCATGCATGAGGCATACACAAGGTCCTTTTGAGATTCTTGAGGGTCTTTGGCGTGAGCGACTAGAAGGTCTTCGTAGCACGCCTTTGGGTTCTGGGGGTCTCTCGTGGGAAGAGCGGACACGAGCTGCGCGTCAGATCCCGAGCAAACCGCTACCCACAACGTTCTGCATCTGATGCCATCGAGCGAGCACATGGTTCTGACATTGCTTGTCTTGCGAGTAGGTTGTTCACCATCGGACAGAACGCGGCACCTGCATTCACAACAACAGCGCCGGCAGCGGCTCCGTCCGGCAATTCTTCGGTAAGCGAGCTCAACTGTCGCGATCTTTTGATCCGACCAGAATTCTCCAGTCCTTATCGATTCGGCCAGCAATCGATAGACGGCGCAAACACCGTTGACCATGGCCTCGCTCGCTGACAATAACTTGCAGCCCATCTGCCAGAATTGCACGACGAGCACGACGCCTCTGTGGCGGCGCGATGAGGTCGGCTCTGTCCTCTGCAACGCCTGCGGCCTCTTCCTCAAGCTGCACGGACGACCGCGACCGATAAGCCTCAAAACAGATGTCATCAAGAGTCGCAACCGCGTCAAGACCGCTGGCCAAGGGCCGAGGAAGAAGGTAAACAAACAAGCCTGCAGAGACAGACGCGCAAGACCTAACACCTTCATCGCATAGGCGCCCGGAGAGTCAAACGGCCTCAGCCTCGCTGCCGCCCATCCCGACGCCTCAGGCCATCCGTCCGACGCGCTGCTGAACCAGCGCCGAGCATCGCAGAAGATCGAACGTTCGAACTCTCCAGTCTCTCGCACAGGCACTCCAGGACTTAATCCGAACATTGCCCCTCAACACATCTTCGATGGCGTCAGCCTCGACGGACACGGCTTCCACCATTCCCCGTCACTCCCATCCTTCAATCTCCGTCAACCATCCCCGTCCGCTGCGTCGATCAATGGCTCCCATTTCGAACCACCTCCTACATATGATGGCATCATCGCCTTGAACACGCAGCTCAAAACACGCGTCAGCGAGCTCGAGGTCATCAACGACCTGTTCCGGGGCCGCGTCAGTGAGCTGGAACAGGGCGAGCAGGAAGCCCGGCGCAACGAGATGCTCGCTCGTGAATGCGAAAGCAGTCTCCGAGGTGAGCTCGAAGCTGCCCGCAATCGGGAAAGCGAGCTCAAGCGGCGTCTCGAGGAGATGGAGGCGGACTTGGCTGAGTACGTCGGGTCTGAAGGTTCGAAAGCGAAACGTGTGCGGCTTTCCGATCTTGTAGACGAGAGTGGTGGCTCGACGCCGCTGTCAAATCCACAGTCATAGTAGCGGTGCAGTGACATCATTCAAGTCATCTTGCGTCCCCTTGGTACATCACTTCCACGACTCCTAATGTACTGGCCAGTCCCAGCACTTCTTGGCTCACCAGGGATTGGCATCTACATTGCCTCTGATTTCTTTTGTTAATGCCCCAGTCACACTAGTCTTTCCCTTGTGCTTGCTTTTCCACAACGAGACTAGAGCGCGAATGCGCCAGCTGGGTTATTTTCACTTAATGTCTTGTCACAGTCAAAAGCGGGTGTGGTTCAGCTCTTTGGTTGCTGTCACAATCCCTTGTGGATACGGGAGTCATGGGCGAGGATGGAGTTGAGCGAGGTGTCTGGGGGATGATGTATGTACCAAAAGTCAAGACTTTGCATTCGGTTTGTTCGCGTATCCCAATATCCCCGATTGCGGTTTCAGCGGTGCCGCCGTGTAGCAGTGTGAATGCGCTGTACACCTCGAGAAGTGGGTAATGACGTGCGAAGCTGCTCACATATATGAACACACCAACATCTGCACTCGCCGTTGGTTCGCTTTGACTCCACTGTATCGTCATCCGCCTGCCCGGGAATGGACTGTGGTGTTCGCAGCGTCTATTTTCGATGCCCCGCCGACTCTCAACCGATTTGGAATCATATCTGCACGGCAGTCGACCGATGTTCCACTCACGTTTTGTGGCCACCTTTTGATCACAAACTTCTCAGGCTTCCAAGCAACCCCGATGGAGAAACGCTTTCGATACTGCCAACATCAGCTGAGCTAATGCACATGGTGTACCACGTAGGACTATCATGCAACCCCCGTAGATGTGGAAAGGCCTGTGGATGCTGAAACTCACTAGCACCCGCCCAGAGATATCAAAAGCATGGCCCAGACACAGTCACGAAAAGTATGATGACTTCTCTGACATCTCTTGCTTCCATCTCAGACAGTCCCGTCCTGCTTATCTAGCTATTCCCACTTGCCTTGGCCAACGGGTTTCTTGGAAGACGTGCACAGACACTAGGATGGATTTGCTTTCCACTATTGTGTTGTCTGTAGCCACAGAAGTTGATCATAAGTCTCCTCGTTCAACCCAGCAACATGCGAAAGGCACGTATGTGCGCAGAACAGTACGAAGAACATGATGGAGCTCTTGAATGCTTTAGAAGAGATTATCACCCAAAGCTCGCCTGAGTTTCACAAAATCAGAGCCGAATAGGGGTGATCTGGACGGTCTTTTATGGATGTCCGTCACGGCAGGTTTGAGTTGCGCTCAATGTCACCTAGGTATGAATTGAGCCGACATGAAGTGTTAGGCTTGCTGAAAGGAATCCTCACTGCAGAACGATGGGCTTCAACACACGAAAAGGTTGATAAGCGGCTTGTGTTTGAGAACATGGATTTTGGAGTAGCAAAATTACCGCAAATGCCGATAACAACTTCCAAGAGTGTTGACGTTTTCATCGCTCATAATCAAGTGCCGCTCAAACGGCAAAGTACGCACAAAAGCGTATAGAATACGCAGATCGCTTGAGCTGCGAAATGAGGGAATGCCCCAAAAAGCCAGACTTCTGCCAGCCAGTCATCTATAAGTGTCGGTCGCCCACGAGCTCCATTCGACACACCCAATGCAACAACAACAACAACAATATGAACTTAAACAACGTGATTCGGAGTCTTCGTCCGCGAGGGGCGGAACAGCCGCTTCAGACCCAACCAAGGCGTGTTGACGGGGCTCTCGCCTGTGAACATGAAGACGTCGTACATCCAGCCGCCGAATGTGCAGCCGAAGAATGGCGCCACCATCGGAACCTGTATGATCACATGTCAACTTTGTCGGTTCTACACGTGCAGCTCGCGGAGCTGAGAAACTTACCCAGAAGTAGTAGTTGCCCGCCGACCAGACCTCGTGGCCATATCCAAGGAAGTACGACATCAACCGCGGGCCAAAGTCCCTAGCAAGATTGATGGCATACCCTGTCTCCCATCCGAAGCAAGCGCCGATGCCAAAGATGACGAAGAAGAGGCACAGGGGGGTGAGATTACCGGCGCCGATGTTGCCGTCGTCCTTGAGGGCGTAGATGCAGAACATCAGAATCGTGCTGGCGATGAACTCGGAGAAGAACTGGCCAGTCGTCGATAGGAAGGGTTGGGGATACGTGCAGAAGATGCCTGCGGTGGCGGTGGAGGTGTTGGGACCCGGCACGGTTCGGATATCGGGACCTCCCTCATACTCGTTGATGGCTGAGAGATAGTTCGCGTAGACGATGCCGGACGCGCAGAATGCTCCTAGGACCTGAGCAAGGGTGTAGATGGGGAACTTGCGCCATGGGAATTTCCGGAATACACAGTTCGCAAACGTTACGGCGGGATTGAGATGAGCGCCTGATTTTCCGCCGCAGTAGACACCAAGCATGACACCAAGGCTGAGACACTGGTCAGAGACGGTTTCTGATGAATACAGGAGTCGAGACTTTACCCCCAGCCCCAATTGATCGACTGATAATCACCGTTCTTCCCGCCACTCAGCACAACCTGCGCAACGACGCCATCACCGAACAGGAGCAAAATGAACGTCCCGAGGAACTCTGAGAATGGTTCTTGGAGAGTTCTCCTGACGCCGTTCCACCATAGATCAGGTCGTTGCTCGATAGCATCTGCTTGCGGAATGTTGTGATCAATCAGTGGTCCATGCTCGGCAAGTGTAGGGCGTCGATCCTGAGGAGGCGTTGCCGGTTGGAGCGTGCTCGGTTTAGAATGTGCTTTCTCAACGTAGATGGTGTCTACAGTGCTGTCGGTGCTGTCCGTAGACTGGTGTATCACACCCATGATGAATATCTACTTTGGATGGGAGTTGAGTGTCGAGTCTTGTCGTAAACTGCAGACGCCGGGAGTGTAAAGACTTATGAAGGAGGACTTGGTCGCACGAGACAACCTTGTCGTTAAATACCTACCAGGACTTGAGGATCAAGGACCAGAGTGTCGGATCCTCGCACCTCATCCTCTACCGGGCTAGAGGAATCTAGGACGCAAGCACGGCTTAGCAACCACAAGCCAACGAACTAAGAGAAACGGTTGACATGCATCTAAAGTGGATGATCACCGTCCATCCAGAATCGAAATGGCAGCCGACAGACTCCTAGTTTCTCGCAATTCGTTACGTGTATTCATTCATCCGCGCTGCAGAGCCCAGATTGAATACGGACTAGAAACCGACTGGCCTATCGGCCAACAGCATGCACAGGGGTGGTCGGTTCCCCCACTTCGTGTAGAGAGTGACGATGGAAATGCGTATTTAATGGTAGCACAACTACCTAAGGATGGTTGAGAAGCAAGATTTCTTTTGGAGTACACCACGTACTGACAGAAGGAATCAAACTTTGGGCCCCATCACGCAATCACTAGACTTAGGAGTGTAATGTGCAGAATTCCGTAACGTCCGTCGCGGCCACATTCTATCGGAGTCGCCGTAGAGTACACTCCCAAGGTAATCGGAAGCGGGGCTGTAGTTCGCCGTAAGACGGTGATATGTCCGTCGGCTACTCTTGACGTAAAGATGCCGCGGTATGCCTCAGGTCTTCTGCAGACGGCCCTCGGGCAGTGTTGAATCCGTGGACAATCGAGATCGGATCTTAAGACGCCTTCCGCTTGCGGCGTTCCTGCTAAAGCCGCTACTGCGCGACAACCCATGGAAAAATGCATGCCAACCCGCAGGAGGCACGACAGGTTTGGAGACGAAACGAAAGTCATTCGTGCCAATGCAAAAAGGAGTGTTCATGGCTGCTTGGTTTGGCCAGCCGCCTGGCTTGACCCACGAACCAGCCCAAGAATTCAGGTTGAGAATTGAGGATTCCGGGCTGGCTTGGTTGACTAAAGCACAGCGCTGCGGGAAACTCTCTAGCAGTTGCCTTTTATGTTTGGCGTTCCACCGGACGTCGAAGTTGTTGCTCCCCCGCAATTGATCAACCGACGGATCAGCATGTGGAGAACCTCGTGCCGGACAACGACGGTCTCACGTAGCGCCGTGTTCAGCGCAGCCGTTCGGATGGTGGCGAGTACTAAACTCTAGTTACTCCAGACGTCTTGGGACCGGGTAAAGTGTGGCATTGCCAGACCACCTGCCTGATGAGGATAGATCTTGCTTCACACCAGACGACTGTGGTGTGCCAGCCACATGCTTAGGTAGTTAACGGGCAGGCTTGTCTTCCTCGATGTCGACCGAGGCCAAATTTGCACGGGTTGGTACGCGCACTCGTGGGAACTGATCAACAGGCCGCGGATAACTCGAGGATCCCCCTCGCCGCAATTCGCCATTTAAGGACCGGAAGGATGTCGATCTGGGATTCTCGGGAGTCTGGGATATTCCCTGCAAGCTGTAGAGCGCTCGGATGCGGAGTCGAACTGTGAGAGCGGTTTGAATGCCGGCCGGATCGCTCGCCGTCCCAGTTGCAGTCAGCGTTCAGCCTTAATCTTGGCGGACAGACGTCCTCCAGCAGCCTTGAGGAGGATGGTGGTGTAAAGCATTAATAGGCGATCGTTCGGCAAGAAGCTCTCCTCCAACGGCTTCTCTACAGTTAACGCGGGGGCAGACGGAGAAATCCGGACTTGAGCCAAGAGGAGGACAAATCCCGTGAATGAGGGGGCTGGATTCCACTACTGCGGAGACCACTGCAATGCAATGTGACGGGATCACACATCTGAACGGAGCATTCCAGGCCGAAGGTGAGGGGGTGCCTCGTCCGCCATCATCACGAGCTGAGGCGGGGCGCACAGAAGCGTGAAGCCAAGACCTGTTCCTGCGGAACAACCCCCGCATGAACATTCCCCGGAGCTCCATCTCTGAGGCAGCTCCCATCTCTGGGGCGCACTGAGGCGCCATCTGGAGCTTCAGATTGACTCGGTAAACGCCTCTTACTGCAGCCATGGCTGTCTTGCGGCTCGAGCCAGACCCTGGGGCGGAGACGCGAGCGGTAAGGGGGAGCTCACATGGGGCCTCGGCCACGGTTTGGCGGAGCATTGAGTGCCTAGCCCTGGAGGGGTAGACGAGGCAGAGACGTGTGATATCGCAGAGCTCTCCTACTCCAGCAAGCTCTCCAGGAAGTATTCTTTTCCATCTCCAGCTGTAGCGTACCGAACCGCTTCTAGAGCTCCTCCAGTCCTTCCGTTGAGCATCATAGAGGAAGTCTACCAGCTATAAACAAATCAAGACTGTAACCTTTGTACACCATCCTTCACCGCACCGCGCAGCTTGACCCTTAAAAACCAAAACAAACAACCATGGACTCTATTCCTGTCAAGGCGGCAGCTGTGAACCAGGTTGATTCCACAGACTCAGCACCTGCGAACCAGCAGGTACTTGACCTCCTACAGTCGATACAACAGAATCAGCAGCGCCTTGAACAGCGACTGGGAGAGCTTGAGCGAAACCAGGGCGGGGCGTCACAGAGCGGGGACGCAACTGCTCATCATGATACACTACCCAGTACAGCCCACGACGAGACGTTCGTCGGCGCGATAGATCAGGGCACGACAAGCTCCCGATTCTTGATCTTCAACAAGGAGGGAGAACCGGTCGCTTCTCACCAGATAGAGTTCAAACAAATATATCCGCACCCAGGGTGAGTCCTTGAGTGAACATGCCGGTCAGGTAGCCCATGCTGATAGCGCCCAGATGGCATGAACATGATCCCGAAGAGATCGTTACATCCGTGCAATTGTGCATGGACGAGGCCGTCAAGCTGTTCAAACGCCGCGGCTACTCCCGCGACAGCATCAAAGCCATCGGCATCACCAACCAGCGCGAGACGACCGTGGTCTGGGACAAGAACACCGGCGAGCCTCTCTACAACGCCATCGTCTGGACGGATACCCGTTCCGCGGCGCTGGTCAGAGAGCTGAAGACCCGCTCGGGCGCCGACAAGCTTCAGGACAAATGTGGCTTGCCGCTCTCAACCTACCCCTCCGTCTCGAAGCTGCTGTGGATGCTCGAGAATGTGGATAAAGTAAAGCAGGCGTACGAGAACGGCACCCTCGCTTTTGGCACTATTGACGCATGGCTCGTCTACAAGCTGAACGGCGGTCCTCAGGGCCGTGATGGTGGCGTCTTTGTCTCGGAGCCAACGAACGCATCGCGGACTATGTTCATGAACTTGGAGACGCTCGACTATGACAACAGTCTGATCGACTTCTTCGGCCTCAAACGGGACAACATCCGTCTCCCGAACATCATTCGCTCATCCGACGCCGAGGCTTATGGATCCATCGCATCCGGATCTCTGACAGGCGTGTCAATCACCGGATGTCTTGGCGATCAATCTGCGGCTCTTGTCGGCCAGAAAGGCTTTACCCCAGGACTAGCCAAGAACACCTACGGCACCGGCTGCTTCCTGCTGTATAATGTGGGCGAGAAGCCAGTCATCTCGAAGCACGGCCTGCTGGCAACTGTAGCGTTCAACTTCGACGGCAAGCCTATCTATGCGCTCGAGGGAAGCATTGCCGTAGCAGGCCAAGGTATCAAGTTCCTCCAGAACAATCTTGGTCTCATTTCGTCATCTGCAGAGATCAATGACTTGGCTGCTTCTGTGGAGGACAACGGCGGATGCATATTCGTGACTGCTTTCAGCGGCTTGTTCGCGCCATACTGGATCGATGATGTCCGGGGTAGCATACGTAAGTAAAGTTTCTCCTTTGCATGGATTTATCGTACCCGGTGACCATCTGTTGAAAGCTCTAACGGCGAACTGACGTTTTCCAGTCGGCATAACACAGTACACTCAGAAAGGCCACGTCGCTAGAGCGACACTCGAGGCGACATGTTACCAGACAAAGGCGATCCTGAATGCCATGGAGAAGGATAGCGGCAAAGCTCTCACCGAGCTAGCAGTTGACGGCGGCATGAGCAACTCAGATCTCTGCATGCAGGTAAGCCATTAATCCTGTCACCCGCCAAAGTACACACACTCACAGTTGTAGACACAAGCGGATCTCATCGGCATACCCGTAATCCGCCCAAAGATGCGAGAAACCACCGCGCTCGGCGCCGCGATCGCCGCAGGATTCGCTGTGGGCGTCTGGAAGAGCTTTGATGAATTGAAAGAGCTGAATCGCGTCGGTAGCACTACCTTGGAACCGAAGATGCCCGCTGAGAAGAGCGCGGAAATGTTTGAGCGCTGGGAGAAGGCTGTTAAGACTTGCTCTGGGTTTGTGTGAGGTTCTGTACGGCGGAGGATACCTTCTTGTCGGCATTGCAAAGCTTCGAGCCTGGGCGTTGTTCCATGTAGAAGGGCTTTTTAGGAAACCTTTTTTGATGTTCAATTCAGTCTCGGTCGCTTGCGTCATTGTATAGCAACCTGATCTGACTGCAGAGCGTCGTCCTGTGCCGTGTATTGTGGCAACGTCAGATCATTGAGTGGGCCAACCTGGACTCGCTCCCGGGTCCGTAACTCATCAACCTTGGCGCGTTTCTGTACATCCCTCGTAACAGCCCGCTTTTTGACGCTTAGCTGTTCGAACCTTCCTTTTGCGCCATGCTTGATCTTCGTAATCATATCCCCAGCGCGGCCCTTCGTGATCGTATCTTCTGTCAGCTGATCACTTTTATCCCGCAGCTTGTTCAAGAATATGAGCTGTGACTCAGACGCGGGTTTCTTCCGCCATGCTTGGTTAGTTGCAATGAAGATCCACTCGAAGGTCTCTTGGGCAAAGGTATCCGCGGCACCTGTTGCGTGCTTTAAGGTATCGCTACTCGCAATTTGCCTCGGTCGCATGAACGGACTCCTGCTCCTGGCGCCAGGGGGGAGCTTCTGAGTGTATTTGACCACAAAAGACCCTGCCTCTTTTTCGATTGTCAGGAAGTCGCCGCGCTGGGTAGACAGGATGTAGCGGTCTTCTCCAACCTCTACCCAGGCCAGGGGGCTGATGCCGCGTATGTGGCGCTCCCCAGATGTGTCTTCCAGGAGATCATATACAGAGTCGTAATCGGTAAACGTGACAACGCGATTCGAGCTGCTGCTTGTAGGCGCCACATATTGGCCACCCGCAGCCTCACGTTCTCGCATGGCTTCCCGTTCCTTGCGGTCTCTAATGCTGACCATGTCACTGACTGCGGCGTCGGTGACTATCTCCGATGGATCAAGACCGAACAATGTCGGGGTCGTGACGATGCCCGCCTGCAGCGAAGCGACCATATCAATGATATGACAGTCCTTCTTTCCCGGATGAAGGCGCATGCCTCGTCCGATCATCTGCACAAGCAGGTTTCGAGACTTCGTTGGGCGCGCAAGAAGTACGCAGTCGATGTTCGGGATGTCGGTTCCTTCAGTGAAGACACCGCAGTTGAGGAGCACGGGAAACTCGCCGTTCTTGAATGCATCAAGCGTCTTGCTCCGTGTGGTTTGCGGTGTATCGCCAGTGACGAACCGGGCGTCAATGCCGAAGTGACGAAAGGTGCCGGTCAGGTGAGAGAGGTGGTTGAGATCTACGCAGAACACCAGAGTTGACTTTCTCCCAGCGCCGCGTGCCATCCACGCTCTGACCGTGAGGTCGTTGATCCCGGGAGTGTTGACGGCCCTCGACAATGCTCCTGTTTGGAAATCTCCGTTCATGCCGGTTTTGACGCCGGAGACGTCTGCCTTGGACTCTACAGTCGTGAATATCACGTTCGACAGCCAGTTCTCTCCAATCATATCGACGTAGTCCTTGTGGTAGACGATGTGATCGATGACCGTCCCAAGGCGTAGTCCATCCGGCCGAGAGAAGGTAGCGGAAACGCCGACGAGGGCCGTAAGTGACTCCCCTGAGTGCCTCAGCCCAAAGTGCTCCAGAACACTCAGGTACTGCGATGCCACGATGTGATGCGCCTCGTCCACTAACACCAGCTTAAACCTTCTCGGATCGAACTTGCGTATTCGTTCTCCGGAAGCTATGCTTTGTATAGAGGCCACGGTAATGTCGGCTAGGCCGGAGGCGTGACTGGATGCCATCTCGATCTCGACCGTCTTCGAAGGGTATGCTGCCATACAGTGTCGCGCCGCTTGTTCGACGAGTTCGCGCCGATGGACGAGGATGAGAGTCTGTGTGGCTTCATGGCCGGGAGGCAGGACACGGTCGATGAGCTGCGTGAAGATGACAGTCTTTCCACTGCCAGTGGCCAACGAAATTCCCAGTCTTCTGTGCCCCTTGCTCAAGTACTCCAGCACGGTCTGTATGCATTCTTGTTGATAGTCCCGAAGACGTATACCCGCCTGTGGCTGAGATGTGTGTTGCAGGCGTGCGGAGATGGTTGCAAGATGTGTGCGTGGAAGCGGACGCGGAAGGCGAATGCCAGGCCTGTTCCGTCGAGATGGGAGTGTCAAGGCATTGCGCAGAAGATGCCACATGAAGGAGTGATTGTCTCTTTAGTGTAACAGGTGCGTATTGTGCTCTTAAGGGACACGATTTGCAAAGAGACTAGGTACCGCCTCGAGGAACCTGAGCCTAAGATTCCACCTGAGTAGGTTCTAATGAGTTTCGCAGCTGGAGATCGACCATGCGGCCCGGATCGTTCCGCCATGGAACGTGCAGGTGAACCTCACGGCACCCGTGGGCACCTGCAGGACTGAGGTGATGATCACTCTAGCCACACTCGACATCGACATCTACTCACTCCAGGCAGGTAGGCAGAAAACATCTGAATGGCATAGCTCTCCACTCGTGTCTACAGAAGTGGGAAACGGTTCCTGCCAGCGATAACTCGTAGTGCACATACAAAGACGAAATGCGACACAAGCCCCAGGACACCTATCCACCGTCCGAGTCATCGGCCCGTCCGACTTTTCTCCCATCGTCCAGCTGTAAAACCATTCCCAAATAGTCCAAGCGTCAGCAATAGCTTCGCGCTCATTGATGCCAGAATGCAAAGGATGAGTCCGACTGTGACTGGACTGCAAAACCAGAAACCGTGGCCTCCGGTTAGGTTGGGAGAAAGCCAGTGGTCCGCCGTCAAAAGCAACCATGGAACCGTGAGCCCGAATTCAAACTCAGCATCCGGCACACTCGGAGTCGGATAAACTCACGGACCTAGAGTAGCCGAAAAAGTCAGCAAAGATAAAATCTTCACTGAGCAGTCCCCCGTCAGACAGACAGTTGTCCTCAAACGGCCTTTGGCCTCGGATCCTATCATACAGTCATCCCTCGAGTTACCTGCCTTTCAAGTCCTTCGATGGATGGACCATTGCCAGCAAGACGTCCAGCAAAATTCCCGGGCGACATGACGTCCTTGGGATGAGCATGTGCGCAGCAGCTGAGGCCCGAAAAAAGTCCTATCATACAAAGACCGGTGATGAGAGCAAGCTGTCTCGCAAAACTCCCTAGCGATGCATCGCTATGCGGATGAGCGAGTACGCAGCGACTGAGGTCCCAAAGCATTTTGATTCTTCATAAATGACCGGTGATGACAGCAAGGCGCCTCGCGAAACTCCCATACGGTATACCGTTATTGGGATGAGGTTGTGCGCTGCTGCTGAGGTCCAAAAAGCATCGATCTTTCTTACGAATGACCAGTGATGAGGGTGAGACGCCTTGCAAACCATCCCAGGCGATTCATCGTGTACTGGGATGAGCGCTGGCGCAGTGGTTGAAGTCGTAATGTGGCCATTGTACGAGGCGGCTTGGAAGGCCCAAATCGCTCTGGGTGGTACTCAAGCCATAAGGAGCCTTTGCAAGGTGCTGTCTTCGCTCTGGAGGACGGCCAGTGGTGTTGCAAGTTGCTCTTGTGTCGAGAAATGCCTGGAATGCGAAAAATTTCCGTGTGCCGCTGTGTATGGCGAGCTCGTTGGCTGGAAAAGAAACGGATGAGGTAGGGACTGAAGACAAGCCGTACGTCTCAAGAGGAGACCTGGGGCGCGAGTCCAATTCTGGGGATGCATAATTGTTAGCAGATTCAGACAGGAAGACGCTCGACCAAAGACATACCTGGATGATCTGTCAGGATCCTGCGATCGGCCCGGGCCTATCCTGGAAGAAGATTGCATTTCATGCGAGTCATCGAGGTTTCAGGCTGCCAGCAAAGAGTTAGCCAGAGTGCTCCAGGGCGATTGTACCCTTTGCTTGCCTTCTGTGAGCGGTGCTTTGAACCACAGATCTGTTTCGGAAGAGGTGTAGGACAGGACTGAGGACGGATGCCATGAGGGACTCGCCCGGTACCAGCGGGCAAAGATGCATGAGAAACTGGACGAGAAGTGTCAGCGGCATCAGAGTTGAGAGGTGGTGAGCGTTGACCGGTTGTAGGTAAGTGGTGATAGCGTGAGTGAAGATAATTAGCGAGAACGGTAAATTGGGTCACTTCTTTGGGGTAAAGCAGATGACAAGGACAAGAATTTGCAACACGATGATGCAGCGGACTGGAGAGGGAGGGAAAGACAGTGAAGAGCACTGGAGAGTATCACGGAAGTTGGTGGTGGTGTGGAATAAGGAAGAGAGAAGAGAAGTGCCGACTAGAGGTCTCTATACCCATCACGCTCTCTGTCCAGCGAGCAATGGCCGATTCGAGAGGCAACAGGTAGTGGCAGAACATGTAAACAGATCATGTGGGCAGAATTAGTGGGTGAGGAAAGGGCGCACATCACTTTTGTGAGGAGCCAGCCCAGTATGGGCTCAATCTGGAGATTTCACTGGCAGGATGGATCCTCTAGGGGAAGTTTGATACGAACTGTGTAAGTGTCTAGCCCCGTAGAAGCTCAACTCAGAGGCTGCACTGGTAAGGTGGTTCCTTTGGGGAAAGTGTTTGACACCAATTGTGCAGGAAGCCCACCCCATAGGATTTAAAGTGGGAGACTACGCTGGCAGAGCGTATCTTGTATGGAAAGAGCTCACAACAATTCTGCAAGAAGCCATGCCCGTACCAGCCGACTGAGAGACTGCGCTGGCACAAAACTTCCTATAGCGGAAGAGTGTACGCAACTAATGTGAAGAAATCGTCCGCAGCCACTGAATAAGTTAGCTGCACTGCCAGGGGGCTCATCTCAACCTGGTGCGTATGGGACAATTTCCATGCACATCATCACCCGTATCTGCAGCTAGCGATTTTCAGCGGTGAGGAGCACTTTTTCGATGTATTGTTACAGAAGGCGTGACTACTTTACATGGCTTTTCACGAGATCCGAACTTGAGTCCTACAGCAGCAGCTGCGGGCTCTCCACGACTTATTCCTACCCGGCACAACAATTGACTTGTCGTTGCTAGGCTGAAATTGCCAGCCGTCTATCCACACCTCTTCCCGCCTGAATACCTTCGCCATAACAAACGCCCCTATCAGACCACCCTATCCAGCTCAAGCGCCCCAGTCCCTCATGCACGCCCTCTTCAACTTGACCTTCCCGCATAAACACTCCCTCTTCCGCGCCTCGAGCTCCCTCTCCATCATCACACCCCTGACATAATGCTCCAGCATCCCCTGCCGCCTCCTTCTCTCTTCCGTATTCGCCTCCAGTATCCTCAGCGAGAACCGCATACTGCTACCACATAGTCTCGCAACGTGCTGCAGAAAGCTTCTGTGGCTCTTTCCGCCATCTCGCGGTTCATAGCTGTTAGGGTGCAGGAACACTTCCTGGGCCCCGAGATCCCAGGGCGCGCTGGCCCATATTGAGGCATCGATGACCAGCTCGCAGCTGCGGAGGCCGGGACAGGCGAAGATGAGGATGTTGAGGAGATGGCGCCACTCGCTGGGTTTGGTTGTGAAGGAGAGCATTGGGGACTGCGGTGCGGTTTCGGCGGGGTTTGTTGGGAACGCTGGACAGCTGTTGGCTGATTTGCTGTCAGGGGTGGTAGCGGCGTTGAAGTGGTAAGCGAGAGACACGATCCGAATGAGATGGAGGTTGTGTGCACGGTCGTGGAGAAAGGCTTGGGCGCCCTGTGGGCTGCCGTAGAACAGGAACGTGGTGTGGCTGTAAAAGTATCTTGCTGCTTCGTTGTAGATGGCACGGTTGATGCCGAAGGCGGCCAAGCTGGTGAGAGGCGACCGACCATTTGTGGGACGTCCAAAGTAAGTGGTCTCCCACTTCCGACCAAGGTCATCCTCCAACTTGTAGGACGTTCTTCTACTGCCTCTTTTCCGAAGGTCACGTAGCTGTGCGGCAAGGACGGAGTCGACTACTAATATAGACGGACATGGAAGGGCGATTGAATAGACTCGTCTACGGACCTTTCCGGGCAGGTTGGAGAAGCACGCGGCATGGCTTCGTAGAGCGGAGTGACCGGTGTCTATGTTTTCCAACTGAGTCAATCCGCTCTCACCGCCACCAGCTGGGGTCGCCGTGTGATAGTCCGACTGCGGCGTCCTACTTGGCTTCACGTTCCGCGCGGATTGAGATGTGTCTGATGCTTTCAAGTGTTTGGAAGGTAGCCCGCTTGATGTCTTTCGCCTCGCCGATGTCAAAGTGAGTGAAGATGCATTAGAGCCGGGCCAAGTGAGCCTTGGACTCAATGACGAAGCCAGCGGCGCAAGAGTGCCTCTATGTGTATCATTCCGCGGTTGTGGTGTACCGGAGAGCTCGTGTTTTCTAATGACTTTGCGATTCTGTAGTGCGGGCCAGCTGGCATACTGTTCGACCGTAAAGTCCGTAGTTGCCTGCTTGGCTAGTTGCGGGTGCTCCCTTCGACACTGTACAAGATAATCCATCGGAAACCCACCGCTGCGACCATTGGCAAACAAAAGACTAGTCGTGTACTGATTAAGCAGCTTCTTCCGCGTGACCGCGTCTGACTCTACCTGGTCCAGTAGTGTGGTCATGTTTATGTCTTCGCAGGCGAGTATGTCGGCGACAATGCGTTCAGGAAGACCTAAAAACTGATCCCGATCTTGGCAGAAGTGTCCCTTTGCGCTGCGATAAAAGCCATCGATTGTGTGTTGTGGAACTCTGCGGCGCAACTGTGGTTTCAGTGACAGCGCATCGTGATCAGTGAGAAGTCCAGCTATCCAGTTGTAGGTTTGGCAGCTTGGTTCGGCGGTGGATTGGGATATCAGTGACGTTTTGTGAGCCATTCCAGCGTGCCGTTTCATGCAACGAACAAGATCCATACTGGTCGTTGAAACGTGACTCTTCGGGCAGGCCGCCTACCAGCCGAGAGCGCGGAGGTCTCCTGCCTGATAAATGTCTACCCTGCTGCCGGTCAATGTGCGTACCGCTCTCAACTTGATACTGCTTGCGTAGCGGGTCCGCGAGAAACTCACTGCGACTTCAAAACTCAATCCGCTTTTCCAAACCCGGGAAGGCTTTCCGGGTGGCTCTTGAACAGTGATGTGGGAGTCGACAACCTTAAGAACGTCTGACATGACAATGACGTATGGGCAGTAACAGAAGCGTCTTCGATCCGACAAAGAATTTTACACAGGTTGCCGCAATGTGGCTTCTACGGCAGCCGAGACAAAGTAAAAAACTAAGGGATGTTTGAGTTTGTCAGCCACACTTAATTCACGGTGATACGAAGCATTACAGGTTGAGACTTGAAGGAATTCTTGATGGAAAGCGGATGGCACCGAATCAGCTACGTGAACGTGTGACTCATGAATTGCATCTCAACAGCATTAGAGAAGCTATGTTGCACCACGCTGGACTCTAAAGATGTAGAAGATACAGTAGTTACCCATGGAGGTGGTCCTTATCCAGTCCATCCGTCTGGTGCCAAAGCTCGCCGATCAACTTCAATCCTGTCATGCAACCAGGTTCGGTACAAATCTAATTCTGAAGCCTTGACTAGTATCTTCTTCGAGTTGCAACCCGCGCTGCCTCCGTAACCGCTCCCGCCAGGCTAAGGACGCACAATTGCCATCTTTGACTCTAGGCAGGCTACGTGCCCATGGTTTTAAGATGCCACTCGTTTCGATGGTCGGACACGATACACTCGAGGTATCTACATCTCGCTAGGCGTCTAAGGCGGAAGCCATTCTGTCATCGCTATGAGTATCTCAGTGCCAACCACACCACGAGAGCGCATCATCATCTGGGTGGCAGACACGGGCGAGGCGCACGGTAAGCACGCTGCGATTGACTTACGATAGTATTGAACCGAGACAGTAAGAGGCAGGGTATCACGGATCAACAGCGGACTGCTGGGGCTCCCGAAGCGGCTGCTCGAGCTTCCCCATATTGTTGACTCCGGCAAAAAGATCTGCGTCGGTCGAGGCGGTGTCTACACTGTCGAAGAGCCCCGGAACAGTGCCCCACCGGATATTCCATCGAGCCCGCTCTGGATCCCACATCATTAGGGGACATTGTGCAAACACTCTCGCCCACATCTTCCTCATGAACCTGTGGGTGAGGGTCGATGGCCTATGCTTGTCTCTCGTCCTCCTCTTTGTGTCCAGCTTCCGTATGCCGATGCTGTCTTCCAGTAACTGCTCTTTGGCCTGTTCAATGGCTTCTTCGTTTACTAGCCAGAGATCCAGTGCAGTGAAGCGGCTACTGTCATCGCCTACAAGCCGTAACAGCCTGCCCTTCCTCGGCCCCGTCTCGTCTAAACCCTCTCTCCTGCATGCTAGCGTGAGATAATCGGTCCCAGAGGTCACGTCCTCGACGTTCACCAATTTCTCCAGATCTCGCACTCCTAGTATGTCGGGTACAGATGCAGGTCTCGCCCTGCGGCTTACAGGTCCCTCCCAGGGCGTAGACGCACAAGCCAAGTCCCTCAACCTCACCCAAGCGTGTTCAGGCAGAGGCGGGAAGACACTCGCCAGCAGCCGGGCATACCACTCGATCACCTTGTTCTTCTCTCTTTTGCGCGGCATGGGCCTTTCCCACACGTTTGTTTGGGGTATCTTGAGCACGAGGGAGCGGACGGGACTGCGGTTGGCGGAATCGCGAGTAAACCTCTGGTGTCGTTGCGATTCGAGGAGGGCTTTGAGCTTGGAAAAGCGGTTCGACAGCGTGTACTGGATGGTACCGTCCTTTAGTTTGGGAGGTTCGAAGACTGGGGGGATATCTGTCACGCGGTGCTTGGAACCGGAGGCATCAGGGGGATCCTGCTCTCGGAGCGCCGTCAGAGCATTCGAGTCTGCGGGCACATCTGGCAGGAGAAGCGACCGCATCATCTCATGCCTCGCCTTCCCGGATCGGCCGTAGGTATAGGATAGGACGCGCAGCAAAGGCCCCATCTCCCCTTCATTGGCGCGCCGCAGCAGAGCCAGGCCTTTGCGGGCTTGCCTAAGCAAGCCGCGCAGTCGGTGCGGGAGTAGGTCATGGCTGTATCCTGCCAACCTGTGCTTTTCTGGCGGCCATGCAGATGTCCTGCGGGAGCTGGGAGGGTGATGTTCCCTAAAGCGTGCGAGCACGTGTTGGCGGAAGTAGGCTCGGGCAGCGGCGTCTGGCAGGTAGGTGCATTCGCGCAGCAGAGCGCGCAGAAGGTGTCTTGCTAGGGCTGGATCGATTGCATTGTAGTTGAACGGGCGCCACATTAACGTATATGTATCCCGTGTATGTGCTGCTGTCTTGTTTAAACGGTGGAACAGAGTCGGTGGAAGGTTTCGCTTCTTTGCTTCGATTGGCCAGCGAGACGCGTTCACGGCAAGTTCGTGGGCGGAACATCACGCGCTGCCCTCCACCGCCGCCTCTCCCATACTGCTCAGCACCGTCACCATATTCGAGCTAGAGCGGAGACAGCGCTTGCTTGATTTCTTGCATAGCGAGCACCTATCTTGCAGCATCCAGCGCGCAAGACACAGCAATTGGCCGTGAGTCCGGCGCGTCCACTGCCTAGACACACCGCGAGCGAACCCCACACTGCGCCAGGCACGTCCTTCGCAGTCCACCACCACCACCACTACCACCACCACCACCACCACCACACCATAGCCCAGCGCGACAGCGATAGCCATACCCCCTAAATCGCAACCAAGATGCAAGTCGCGCACCCCTTGGCCACCCTCGACACCCGGTCAGCGTCCTTTACTTCGGGCACATCCGCCCCGCCGCCGCCCATGTACAACTCCTCTCAGCACGGCATGACAACGCAGGCCGGCGCATGGCGAAGCTTTCCGGAAGCGAACGGCATGTCGCATGTCATGGAGAAACCGCAGATATACACGGTATGTTGCACACGAAGCGTTGTCTTTCTCCTTTGTATGCGCGCAACGAGGCTGACTGCAGGCGCGTCGAAACTAGGCCGTTTACTCGGGCGTGTCGGTCTACGAAATGGAAGTTCATGGCGTCGCTGTCATGCGCAGACGGTCCGACTCGTGGCTAAATGCAACTCAGATCTTGAAAGTCGCTGGCGTTGACAAGGGCAAGCGAACCAAGGTCCTGGAGAAGGAGATTCTCGTCGGCGAGCACGAGAAGGTGCAGGGCGGGTACGGGAAGTATCAGGGGACGTGGATAAACTACCGTCGTGGCCGCGAGTTTTGCCGGCAGTATGGAGTCGAGGAGCTGCTTCGTCCACTTCTTGAGTACGACATGGGCGCCGATGGTACCGGTCAACCTGGACAGGGCATAGACACGCCAACCAAGGAGCAGGCCCAGGCGGCGAACCGGAAGCGACTGTACACGGCGACTGTTGACCCTCGTGCGAATAGTCAGAACGCCAACGGCACCTTCTTCTCCAACATCTCATCCACAGCGTCGAACGCGATCGCTGCTATGAACAAAGTAGCCAGGCTCAACTCTCCAGCGCCACGGCCAGGCAGCGCTCAGCGAAGACCGGGTGCTGTCATGGGCCGGCCACCTCAGCCACCTGCTCTAGCGAGCCAGGACTCTTTCCGTGCTGCAAGCCAGCAGAGCATGCAGAGCATTGCATCAGAGCGCAGCTTCGGACCCGGGGACTCGACATATGGCACCATGTCCACGGAACAACAAACCCAAGGAGACATGGAGCCACCTCGGAAACGAATGCGGCCGTCAAGTCAAGAGGAGACACCTACCCAGGGAAACGGTGTTGCCGACGTGTCCATGCGAGATGGCACACCCACAGAACCGAACGAGTCTTTCGTGTACCATCAATCGGCGCACTATGATGGCGACGTACCGATTGCCCTGTCACCCCTTCCACCACCGGGCGACAAGGAAACAGAAGACAAGCAAGCCGTGCTTCTCGACCTCTTTGCAGATCTCTCCCGCACAGATTTCTCTACTCATCCAGCCATTCAGTCGCTGTCCGGCTCAGACCTGGACCTACCCCTCGATCAGTCCGCCAATACCGCGCTTCACTGGGCAGCAACCCTAGCGCGTGTATCTCTCATGCGCCTACTGATTTCAAAAGGCGCCAGCATCTTTCGAGGCAACGCTGCCGGCCAAACACCCCTCATGGCAGCGGTGCAAGTAAACAACAGCCTCGACCACAGCTGCTTTCCCGAGCTACTGGAAATTCTGGGTCCGCTGATTGAAGTCCGTGACGCACAAGGCCGGACCATTCTCCACCACATCGCCGTCGCATGCGGTATCAACGGCCGTTCAGCATCTAGCAAGTATTACCTGGAGGCTCTGCTCGAGTTCCTTGTCCGCAGCAACAGCGGCTCAAGCGGCCAAGGCGCGTCGTTTGAATCTTTCAACGTTGCCAGGCCGATCAGCCTCATCAGGTTCATGAGCGAGATCGTGAACGCTCAAGACAAGGCCGGCAACACAGCATTGAACCTTGTCGCGAGAATCGGCAACCGCAGGATCATCAGGCAGCTCATGGAGGTGCAGGCGGATCCGCGGATCCCGAACCACAAAGGTCTGCGGCCGATAGACTTCGGTGTTGGCGAGGAGCTGCCCCAAGGGGGTGCTGTACAATCATCATCGCAGTCGAACCAGGTCGGCTCGCCTACGAAATCCACCAAAACCACACTATCCCGCGTCGAAGAGGCGAGCAGGGATATGATGCCATGTAAGCTAAGTCCTCTCCCACTCTCACCATAGCTCCCACCACGCTATCACGTGACTAACCTCCCCACTCCACAGCAATGTCTTCCTTCCTCTCTCAAACCGAATCCCAATTCTCAGCCGAGATCCGCCTCAAGCAAGACCAAATCGACGCCACCAACACCGCCATCCGCGAGCTCTCCGCCCTGCAGAAGTCCGAACTCCAGAAACTCGAAGCCCTCCAGCGCCGCATGCGCACCCGCACAGACCGCCAGCAACGCATCGCGAACCTCCGCCGCGCCATCGATGACCAGCGCGCCAGACTTCTGCGTAGCGGCGTAGTCACGGACCCCTCGGCGTTGGCGAACGTCAAGGTCGTGCAGGTGGGCGAAGCGGATCAAATGGTGCCTTTGCCGAAGGAACTCATGGCGGTGGAGGCGGCTGGTGCGGACGAGACCAGAAGCCTGCAGATCAGCCCGGCGGTCCTGAAGGCGCTCCCTCCGCCGGCAGCATTACGTAGCAGACTCGAGGCTTATGCGGCGAACAAGAGCAGCCTGCTGCATAAGAGCCAGGCGCTCAAAGCGCGCAATGGCGAGCTAGAGAGGCAGTATAGGAAGGTTGTCAGCTTGTGTACGGGTGTGGATGAAAGTAGGGTTGAGGATGGGCTTGGGATGCTGGTTCAGGCGGTCGAGAGTGAGGCGTCTGAGGGGGTCGAGATTGGGAGGGTAAGGGAGTTTTTGAAGAAGGTGGAGGGCGTGGAGGAGGTGTGAGTTATCAGTGGTCTCGAGCGGTGGTGTGGTTGGCAGTGTCACTCAAGGGCGCTCGTGGGCCGGTGGACGCGGTTCAATGAGGTAGAGAGTTTGGGTGCATTGTGAGGCGTTTGTCAGGCGCATCGCGGTGTGAGATACCTTGTCTAGGTATTTGCGTGTCACGAAATCTCATGACCTTGTTCATACATGTCTCGAGTAGTAAATCAACATTTTCGCATTATCCCAAGCAAGCGTCCGTTCGCTGGCCTTTTCGACAACATTTCGTTGTCATTAACGTGCTATGACTGCCCATCCCTTGAATCTTCTTTCTCAGCTGCGAACTCTTAACCATTCTCGATTCTTCTCAGGCGAACTCTTGTCTCCTCCGCAACTACATTCATCTCATCAAGCCGCGGCACCCGCTCGCAGCCCTGCCTGACATCAGAGCTCAAGCCATGAAATAGTAGTGGAAGCGGGGAAGACTTCCATACCTGTTGGCGCGCATGCTGTACGGTCTGCACGATGGTCGCGCACAGCAGCAGAATGCTCAAGGCAACGAGGAGCGCGGGGAGCAGAAGCCACTTCCAGTCAAACCGAACGCAAGTTGTCGTTTGGTGAATAGCGCCCAGAGCAGGAACTGAACGTTGCCGCCAGTAGTTCGTTCCACCCATCCGTATCCGGTTTGTCATCGCCATGGCCACGCCCGCCACGGTCTTCTCGATGCTTTCAAGAGTGGCGCTGGCATTATTATAGAGCGGTTCCAGCCACCACGTACTGTTAACCCATCCCAGGCGGTTGTAATCTAAGTCCAATCCTCCCAAAGCGCTGCTGTCGAAGCCAACGCCGGAGAAGATGTTTTTCAGGGACTCTTCGAAGTTACTGACGTTGTTGCTGCCCATAATGAACGTGCACTCTTCTGGAGGTCCGAAGCGGGTAACGTAGCTCAGGATTACGACGGTGAAATTGGAACCAGTGCCATGGAGCCGTCTAGTATGCTGCCGGAGTCGTGAGTTGTGCCGTTAACCGTGCATAGCACAGAGACAGAGCTGTAACGTGCTTTGTAACCCCTCGTGTACACATCGGGCGAGGTGGCGATCACTGGCCATTCTTGACCTGTAGATAATAGTACGTCGTACAGGCGTTGCACGGATCGGCGCTTCTCTGGCTCGGGAGCTGAGCGTTTTTGTGAGCGCGCCCCACCAAAACTCACCCAGGCCATAAGCCCAACCTCGTTGTCGTCCTAAACGTCTTGAACTCTTGAATTTGAAGCCGAAAAGCTCCATATAAACTGCCCAATATGGGCAAACGCAAAGGCACCAAAAAGGCACCCTCTACGGCTCCCAAACCCAAAAAATTAAGAGGAAAGGAGCTACCGCCTGCTCCACCACCTAATCCACCACCTACTCCGCTAGCTTCTAATCTAATAGACCAAACGCTACTAGCGGAAGTCCAGCGGTATATTATAGCGCATCAGCAAGCTATTAATAAGCCGCTAGAGGGTTATAGTGCCGCTATTATTCGGTATTAGCCGTTCACGCGTTTTACAGCGTTTCAAGATAACGAGGATACCGTGCCGCCGCGGAGCGCTCTAGATATTAAGGTTAAAGAGGTGATTGATAAGAGCTTTACTAGTAGTAGTCAGCAACCAGTTTAATTATTACGGCGCCTCCGCTCTAGATACTCGCTAGTACCGCTAGCTACTACTAATATTATTAAATATAACATTAGCTAGATAGTTAAGCTTAAAGGCCGCAAGGTTATTAAAGACACTAAGTAAGGCGTTGAGATAGATCTATCTCACTACTAGTGCTATTACCTACATAATAAAAGGACGAGGCTTTTAGCTATTAAGACCGTTAATAAGGTGCTTAAAGAGGTAGTTTATTCAGCTAGGGTTCACACTAAGGCTAAGGGCATAAAGGACATTATCCTCACTATTAAGCTTATTCAACTAGACTAGATACATATTAATAGAACACTTAAAGCTTTTAGCTAGAGGTTTACGGATAAGGCGCTCCGTGTGGATATCCTATAGGAGTTTAATAAATAGGTGCCGCTAGCTGCTAAACATCTAGGAGGATCTACTAATATAATAAATTAGCTAGAGTAAGAGTTAAACTGTAAAGACGCTACCGGTAAGATTAAATACTATCGATATATCTGTTAAGCCGTTTAGTGTAACCGTAGCAGCTGCGATAACTAGGATAAATAGTGCTATTAGCCGTCTAACGGCAAGTATATAAAGCTAACCTCACCGGATCTAAAAGCATGGATGGAGGCCTTACTTTGAAAGGTTACTAGCGTCACTAAGTTCACGCCACTAGCGGCGGTATTAGACTAGCTCTATCTTACTAAGTATGGATCTCGTGGTAGATAATTAAATTATTAGCTATCTAAGTTACTAATACCGCCTTTACATCTATATATACCTATAATACCGCCGCCGCCACAGGCGCGGACGCTATCTATAGGTAGTTCTACTATAAAGGATTATGAACTAGTACTATCTTCGCCGCTGCGAGTTAATTTAATTCTAAAGTAGAACGTGTAACTCCAAGCCTATATTAACTAGATAAAGTAGAAGGTAGATAATAAGGGTTAGCGTGCTGGATTTAAAGCTATCTATACTACTACTATAGAGGATTATTTTCGGCTTAATTATGTGAGGAAGGAATAGCTAGACTAGTTTAGAGCGTATAGGATTAAGAATAGGATTACTAGAGTAGTTAAGGAGGATGTAAAGGTATAGTATAATAAGGTTAAGTATAAGGAGTTTATAGCTTGAAATAGTATGCAGGTGGACTAGGTTTTTAAGTTAGTTTTAGTTTTAACTTCTATCTTTTATATATATGTCTATTGGCTTCAGGATCTCTATCAGCCCTATAAAAATTTAGTATAGAAACCACTAAAATAAGCCACCTTAATAGAGAATGCAAAGTCTTTATATTTAACCTTAGTTAATACTAATATCTACTATTAAATGCCTGAAATAGGCGCGCGCGTGCCCATAATCTAAGCCTACCTACTCTATATACTAATAGAGGTATCTCTTAAACGAATAGTCGCTCTTATTTGTCTCTTTAGTCTAAAGATGCTGATACCGCGTGATAAATGCTTTAAGCTCTGCAAAAAACTCCTCTATAGGGTTTAAATTAGGTGAGTATAGGGGTAGAAAGATAAGCTTAACACCGTGCCGCTTAAATAACTTTAAGATAGACTCTAAATAATAAAAGGATATATTATCTATCACTATAACTAAATTTTACCTAGATACCGCCTATAAGATGGTAATAAGCGGTGCTCTATCTATAAATCGAATCTAGCCGCATCTATCGTCCCTTTAAAGACCGCAGTATCTAGAATACCTTCTATTATATACGCCGGTAATATCTAAAAGTATTTACTACGCATTAAATACTTGCGGTAGGTTGGTATCTAACCTTAAGGTGACTAGCTTATCTTTTAAAACCCTATCCGTTTATCTATACTAGACTCGTTAATAAATACTAGCTGCGAGGCCTTAAACCGTGATATGAGATAGAGGTAGTATACGCGGAGCTATATATTACGTCCTTTAGCTATCTTGCGAGCCTGCTTTATCTTAGATCTAAGCTGACTTAACTACTAGATAAACTTATAGCCTTTCTACTCCAACCAGCCTCCTGTAGGTATTTAGATAGTACCTCTTGCAATATAATCTTACGGAACTCATCCTAAATAAACTAGCACATTTCGGCTAGATATAGCTCCAGCTTTTTAATAAGGTGGTGGAGTAGTATTTTAACCTCCTCCCGGTTTAACAACCTTAGTGGACCTAGTACTATAGTAAGAAGAGCCTAGCTAGTAATCCTTATATTGCGTTGAATACGCTTAATAGTAGATTTGCTGACTCGAACGGTATAGGCAATATAATAGTAGGGGTAGCTAGCGGTAAGGAGCTCGATAATAAGGTTGCGAGTACGGTTTGAGATATTTAGAGCTATCTTTAACGGTTACTACTAATTTTAAGAGCTTGGATAGATAATACTACTAAGTTTAGAGCTTTAAGATAATATTTAGGATAATAACAAGGTTAGACTTATAGCCTGGGTGAGTTTTAGTGGGTCGCGCTCACAAAAACGCTTAGCTCCCGAGCTAGAGAAGCGCCGATCCGTGCAACGCCTGTATGGTAAACTTTGAGTTTTCCGTAACTTTTTGACTCTGTATTCCGTAGGAGGTTTTAGACTAAATAAGGGTGCTATTAAAGATCTAAGCGGCTGTAAGCGGATAAACACGCTAAAAAAACTCTAGTATATTATGGTAATTTTACGCTAGGCCTAATACAGCACTTGGATAGAATAACTTAGAGTAAAGTAGAATTAGGGTAGACAGAGTGTATAACTAAGATAAAAAGAGTTATATAAGAAAACTAAGCGGCAGTAAGCGGTTAAATAGAGTAAAAAAAGTATAGTCTTCTATATTAGTTTCACGCTAAACCTAATTTAGTAAAACGGTCTTAAAGAGAAAGTAAAGATATATTTAAATAAAGCTATTCAAAAACGATACTAGAGGGCTAAGCGGCGGTAAGTAGTAGAGTAGACTAAAAAAAGTATAGTTCTCTATATTAGTTTTACACTAAACCTATTTTAGTAAGATAGGTAAGAAGTATAATAGAGTTACAAGAATAGTATTTAATTAATAAAAGTTCTAAAATAGTTAGAAGAAATCTAAGTAGCTATAAGCGGTTAATTCTATTTAGAAAAAGATATATATATATAGTTTACTTTATTAGTTCTGCTTTAGCTCTAATCTAGATGTAAAGAATTAGAGTTTTAGATTAGAAACTAGGTTTATATATTAACTAAAGTACTTAGTAGTAAAAATAGGCTTAAATTTAGAGTAAGTAGGTTAATACTAGACTAGTTAAATATATTATACCTAGTAATCTTATATTTTAGCTTAGAACTAGAAGGAAATAAAAAGAAAAAAAGAGAAAGAAAGAAAAATAGTCTTAGTTAGAATTAAATTTAGAATAAAAAATATACTAGGAGAAGTGATAACATCTAACTAATAGACTATTCTACTACTTCCCCTAATACTAGAAGTACTAGTTAACTTAGTAGTTATATATAGCTTAGAAATAGAGAGAGCTTTAATAATTAGTTTCAGAGCTAGAACTTATAGTAAAAAAAGGTAGATTCTAGAGAATAGCTTAATAGATTAGGGTTTTAGTATATATAAAGCTACTTATATAGTAGTACTAGGGAGGTATTCTAGCTTATATAGCTAGAATTAAATTAAATTAAAGAAATAAGCCTAGGATTTACTTTAAGAGATTATATTAATACTATTATCTAATCTTAGTGGAAAACTTAATAGTCTAGACTATAAGTGTAGCTAAGTTATACTACTAAAAGCTATATATTTTAATTCTTATAGAAAAGCTTAGTAATAGAGTTAACTTCTAATTGCTCTAAATCCGTATATAAATTCCACTCTTTATTATACTTATTAACTATATTAAAATCCTCCTCTTTATAATAGATATTATATCTATTTCAACTATTTAGTTAGTAGATATCTTTATTAATAGTACTCTCTCACTCTTCTACTTTATAATAATCTTTACTATAAACTCTTATTTTAATATTCTCGATATTCTTAAACGTAGTAATATTCTTATTAATAAAAGACTTAATAAAGTCTAGTAAGAGTTAGTAATATACTAGAGTTTCTATAGATTTACTTACTAAAGTCTTTAAGAAGTATAGAATAGTTAATTATATAGTTGTTTAGACTCTCTATTTTGATAAAAGTACTATAACCCTTCTTCTTAAAGATATTTATAAGGTTTTTATAGTCTAAATTAATAGTACTAGGGTTTCGGAATATATAATCTAGAAACTATTAAACTTATATC